CTCGGGCGCGCACACGACTGCGCGGTGAGTCACATACAACGGCAGTGGGAAGGCAGGCACCTACACGGCAACAGTAGCAGCAGCCATTGTTGCGTGCTGGGCGGGCTGTAGTTGACGAAATATTGACATCTAAGAATAGAAAGCGAGGCGCACGCGGTAGTGGGGTCGTCATCGCTATCGTCGTCGTCGTCGTCGTCGTCGTCGTCGTCGTCGTTGTCATCGTCGTCGTCACCGCCGCCGTAGTAGTAGTAGTAGTCGAATCGGAGCGGGATGAATATTGAGAGGGAGCGAGCGAGAAAAAATACTGGCAAAGCAGCCAGTTTCACGAGAAAGGTTTCTGGCCAACGAGAGAAGGGGGATAACCGAAGGTTTAGGTTAGCAGCTCGATTGTCGATGGGAATCGGCTCGCGCGTCAAGGGGGTAGTAGCAGCAGCCACGATGACGTCAGCCCGAACAGAGGGTTTGTCGAGCTCTCTTTCTCGCTCTCTCTCTCTCCCTATATGTTTTTTGCGCGCGGCGCGTACGCGTGTAATGCCGAGTGCGTTAAATGAATCTTTCGCGCCAATGAAAAACACTTTGAGAGTGAGAGAGCGCGCGGGGGAGTCGATTTTCCCCCTCTCCCTTATTCTCGCTCTCTTCTCTCACCGGGCTTTCTTCTCCGACTATCACTACGACTGTTTTATCATCGTTATTATCGACATTGTTCGGGGATTGCCGCACAACAGAAGAGAGAGAGAGAGAGAATCGGGGGTGGAAGGGGCCAACGAGTTTATTGTATATTATACTTGCGTCGCACAGACGAGAGTCGACGAAGGGTGCGACAGCTCTCTCTCTCTCTCCCCGCAGCATCTTTGCATGGTCGTCAGGCGGTCGATTTGTGCCCCGTCCACCTAATGGACCTTCGTCGTTGCGCGTCCATTGTACGGCGACGTTTCCTTTTTCGCAGCGAGCCGATCAATTAACGCGATAATTTTTCACGCCGGAGAGGACGGAAATACTCGATGCGCGTTGAGCCACTCGAGGCAGTTAAACGTCAAGCCAGGCTTTGCACGGAGATTTGCATCGAATCCTCGGCTCCATCCACCGGCAAACAAGCGGCTTTTTATTTTACGCTCTCCGTCTCTCTCGGCAGCCGGCCGCCGACGCGCATTCTCCAGACCTGTCGCTGCATTTCTCAAAGTAAATATCCTTGAACTCGCCGCTGCACTGCAGCGCGTCTCGCTTGCGTCTCTCTCCTGCCGGCTGAAATGTGTGGAAAAAAAAAAAATGAAAAAGCAAAAATAAAATCAAAAATCGGAATGTCGAGGCGAGTGCGCGCGTAAGGTACGGCGGCAGCAGTATACAGTCGCGCGCGCGGTCGTTGGAGTTTTTAGGGTGTACCGCGGCGCGAGCGGGGAGAGCGATCTGCATTGTGCGGGCGCTGCTCGTGCGGCGTGTGTGTGAATAGCAAGCACGTGCATTTCCCACAGGAAAGCAATGAGGGCGCTCTTCGCAGCTGCGTCTGTGTGCGTGTGCGCGCGCGCGCGCGCAGCTCGGTCGGTGTGGTAGAAGTGCGTAAACGTGTGCGCGTGGCACGGCTAATATTCAAGAAAATAAGAGAGTCGAAGGGAGAAAGACGGAAGGAAAAGGAGGGGGAAAAAAAAATGAGAGTGAAAATCGAGAGATTGCTCGTAGTCTTTCTGCCGCGAGAAAGTCTCTCCGGCAGCGCTGCCGAGGCTACGCTCTATAGTTATGCACGCGCGCGCGGCCTTTGGGCTTTGAAAGCGATTTTCTAGGCGCACTTTTGTGAAATGAGACCTGCGCTCGCGACTCTCTGTACAGGCGCGCACGCGCGCTCCGGATTTTACTTTTACTTTATGAATTTCAAATGGATTCTAGCGCGCTACCGCTGCTCCTGTCACAACCGACACTTCTCGCTTCATCTCTTCATATTCCTAGAAGAGGAACACTGGCATCCACTTACTCGCCCCAAGTCTTTGCCTCGACTTACGGATAATCATTTCGAGAGACAGAGAGAGGAATTTGTTCGACAGCTATTAATTGAGATATTACCTCCGCCGTAAAAAGCAATGGATACGCGTTTCAAGCGTGAAAAATTGATACATTTCTAAAGAGAAGCAAACATTTAGTCGTCGCAGAAAGAGAGAAAGAGAGAGAAACACCAGCCGAAAGAAGTTGCGGCAAGAAATAAAAGAATAAAAAGGGAAAAAAAAAGTCGGCAGCGAGAGAGAAAGAGAGGGAGAGAAACAGCGTAGAGGGCAAAAGTGGAATAAATATATACGTATATACGTCGGGGCCAAAAGCGATCGGGCGAAGGATACACGTGCGAACGTTGTTGGGGGGCGGGAGAGGGGAAGAAGAAGAGAAAAAAAGCAGCGCGACAGAGGAGAAAGAGAGAGAGAGAGAGAGAGAGAGAGAGAGTTCAGCGCGAGACACGCATACACGTACAGCCAAGGGCTGAAAGTGCAAAAGGGAGAGAAGCGAAAAACGCGGGTAGTTTGGCACTACGGGGGTTCTTTTACGCGGCTTAGGCTTATACCTCGGCTGCTACTGCTGCTGCTGCTGCTACTGCTGCTACTTCGCCGTTAATCCTTATACCTTTTCCTCTCGATTTTGAATATTTTCATCGTGCGGCCGGCGCTCGACGCCAAAAAAATGTGACGCGCGTAATTTTCGGCAGGCGGGACGCGGGAATGCTTAACGCGAGGAGAGGTCACGAGAAAAGTACTTGAGCGCGCGAAGGCACTCGTGCGCTTATTAGCCGGCGTGACGAGAGGTCAAGAGCGAAACGATCGACATCGTCCACCCCCGATAATCATCCGCGCGCGCAGCGATGAGCGCTGCGTCTCCTCTCTCTCTCTCTCTCTCTCTCTCTCTCGTTGGCAGAGGTTTCCGGCAATTAGTTCTTCTCTGGGTCTCTCTCTTTCTCTCTCTGTCTGCCGCCGCCACACACCGCAAATGGAAACGTATCCGTAATAATAATAATAATAATGCCGGGCAGCAGCAGTAGCGGTTGCGTCTTTGTGAAATTGCGATTTGAACGGTGTGACGTGTTGTGTGTACAGTCGAGAGAGAGAGAGAGAGAGAGAGAGCCATTTATTAGCTACCTGCTCTGGCGCGAGAGGGGCCCCGTCAAAGCTGCGACGGCCTTCCCAGGATATGTGCTACAGGCCTATTGGGTTGACACCCTAGTCGCGCAAGAGAGAGTCCGCCTGCGTGCGCGCGCGCGCGCGCGCGTGTTGCAGTTGCGCGAGAGTGAAGGGAAAGCGAGCGAGCGGAGAACCACGGGCTTCGCGCGAGTCGCGTAGACGGGCTCTCGCGCGCGGGAAAGAATTGCCACCGCCGAGAGAGAGAGAGAGAGAGAGAGAGAGAGAGAGAGAGAGAGAGAGAGAGAGAGAGACAGGCAGACAAGTTAATAGGGCATTATCATCCTGCTTGTGCGCGCGCGCGCTGCTCTAAACTCTTGACTTTCGAATTACATCGAGGCTTTCGATACTTATCCCCACTGCCGGTGCTGCGACGCGCCGCTGTTTTCTCTCTCTCTCTCTCTCTCTCTCTCTCTCTCTCTGTCGACGACGCGAGCAGCTAACTTTTTGATCCTATATTTTTCCTCGGTTGACGGGCGGCATACTCTCGTTGGACGACGCCGGTGCTAATGGCGGGGCGAGACGACAGCCTGCCTAAACGAGTTTAAGCGTCGGCTAATTAAAGCGGAAGAGCCGCAGCTAATCCCCAACAATTTCACGCGATCGTGCCCACTCGAGCAACATATAACATTCAATTGCGAGCGGGAGAGGCGGCCGGGAAAGAACGCCGAAGAGAAAAAAAAGGAAAAAGATGGAAGGAGGAAGTGGCTGTGCGGCGAGTGTAGAAAAGCCGACATCTGTCCCGAGGCGTTGTGTTTCACGCAACGGCATTTCTCGTCGTCGTCGTCCAGTGTAGGCTGCTGCGGGAAAAGCAGCGGCAGCACTGCCGGAGAGGAGAGGGAGAACGAGGCAGCAGACAGACAACAAGAGGGGAAGGTCGTGGCGAGAACAAACCTCAAGCGGTCAGTTGGATGGCGCGTCGACGGGGGCGTACGGCTTTTGCAGGCCCCAGCTGCTGTGTGCTGCTGTCGGCAGCCCGTCAGCGTCTACCGGCGTTGCCCAAAGCGAAAGAAACAGAGACATAGCCGAGGTTCGATGGTCGATATTGGCCGACAGAAGACGTTATAAATCAATGACGCGATAGCTTCCGTTTCTTGCGCTGATTGCTCTTCTCTCTCTCTCCCGAATTTCCAGTTTCCCTATGCCTCGGACAACGCGCTACACGCCGAGATAGACCACTTTGCGTGTACGAGCTTGATTCTTCACTAATGGCGTTCAATTAGACTTAATTCAATCCTCTCAAGGCATGACGGCCACAAAACCAATTCTTCAAAGTGTACCTTGCAAGAATAGCGCTCCTGTGCTCTTTTCTTCTGGCTTGCTATTTACTGAAAATATCGTTAGTCGGACAATAGGTTTCGAGCCGCTAATCGAATCAACGACTATTGTCGCGTGCTGCTTTTCTATCCCTTCGCTCGCTTTTTTTTAGAGACCGCGATGACTGCCGGATAACCCGACCCGTTGTTTACGAGCATATATTTTTCTAGGAACTGGTTAATAACCAATCAAAAATAGCCGCATTCGGTGTTGCGTTTCTTTCACACTCGACGAGTCGCAAGTTCAGCTACCTAGCAAATTGCCCAACGCGTGCGGGTTATCGTCCAAATCGGGACACGTCGCGATATTCTTGAGTCTAATTGGAATCAAATGCCCGACGATCATGTATACCGAAGAAAAATATCCGCGTCTCCCAAGAACATGGATGCATCATTCAATATCTCGATAAATTTGATAGTAATAATAGGTAATCGCATTAAAGCCATCGACGCTTATAGCAGCGCACTGAATAAATGAAATCTTCATGGCGATTCATGGAGAACAAGCATATCAATCGCATCTTTCGTTGAATTACAGATGCAGAGTCAACACGCGATGGCGCACCAGAGCTACAACACCGTGGCCTACAACCAGCGAGGCCCGATGACAGGCATGACACCGATGGGAATGGCCAATTACGGCAACATGACCTCGGTCAACCCCATGATGTCCATGAACTCGATGGCCAACATGAATCACAACGTCAGTCCCATGAACCACATGATGATGGGCGCTGGCGTGAACGGCATGAACGGCATGGCCAACATCCCGCCCATGAGTCCAATGACCAGCATGAACAACGTCGGCATGATGAACAGCGCAATGGGCAGCGCCGGCGTGCCCATGAACAAAATGACCATGCAGGTAAGCTTCCTTTTCGTCGCTTTTCGTCGGCTCGGCTGATCTCCCGCGTGATTGTTGTGTTTCGGCGCTGCTGGAGATGCGTCGACACTCTCGGCTGAAAAACAGAAATAAAAGGCTTGAAATTTACGAGGCTACATTTCCGAGGCTCTCCGTTGTTTGTTGCGACAAACGAGAAAACGAATCGCGGCTTCGGTCGAGGCAAGGGAGTGCGTATATATTCAGAAATCTACTTTTGACTCTTTACGCAGCAAATCACTTCGATATGTAAAGTATTCCCCAGCCGTCTAATTTTGTCGAGCAAGGTTTAATTCTGTCGCGAGGCGCGCGAGCTCGCTCCAAGATCCGTCTCTGCTTATACGTCATCTCCAACAGCTCCGCAGCGTCGTTTCGCGAGGTCGACAATCGCCGTTCAATTTGTGCGAGTCGCCAAAAATCGAGCCTCGCCGCGTGGCCCGCAACGAAACGAGAGAACAAGAAAACTAATAAAATACGTCTTTGGGTGGTTTGTCACGACAGACGCAGCAGGCGGCATACGCGAGGCAACGAATGGCACCGTACCCATCCCAGGTCATGCACGCCACGCCGAAGCGCATGACCCAGCAGCAGTCCGTGCCGCAGCAATCGGTGCAGCCGAATCCCTACGCTGGCATCGCGCCGGGCATGGCGTACGCCGCGGCCGCTCAGCCCCAGATCGGCCCGCAGCAGCAGCAGCAACAGGTCTACCCGAACGGCTACGCGGCGAGGCCGACCTCGTTTCCGCAGCAGCCGCCGCACCCCATGCAAACGCCGCCGCAGCAGCAGCAACAGTACCAGCAGGCGATGCAGCCCCAGATTAGCCCGGTGATGATGCGAGGCGCCGCCACCGCTCGGCAACAGGCCCAGCAGCAGCAGGTCCAGCAGCAGCAGGTCCAGCAGCAGCAGGTCCAGCAGCAGCAGCAGGTTCAGCAGCCGCAACCGATGAACCCGGCTTACGCGTCCAGCCAGGCTAGTCAGTACTACGCTGCCGCGGCCGCGGCCGCCCAGAACTCCATGCAGTCGCAGCAGCTGAGCTCCCAACACACGTCTCAGCACACGATGGCGTTGCAGCAGCAACAGATGAGCTCGGGTCTGTACTCGCAACAGCAGGCGGCCGTCGCGGCGGCGCAACAGCAGCAGCAGCAACAGCAGCAACAGCAGCAGCAGCAACAGCAGCAGCAGCAGCAACAGCAGCAGCAGCAGTACGTGGCCCAGCAGAACGCCGCCAACTCGTACCTGAGCAGTGCCCAGTATACACCGGACAATACGTCGCCGATGCGTTCGGCTCCCAATGGCAGCTATCAACAGAGCCCCATTCCGGGCAACCCCACACCACCGCTGACACCTGCCTCGAATGCTTCCAGCATGCCAGTCTACGCCGATGCCAAGTCGGTGATGCCAAGTGAGTTGTAAACACCATTCACTCGCAGTCGGTTTCGTGGGCGTGTGCCGAACGTGCGCCCAAGGCCATTCGCTCGGATCAGCGTCTCGCCATTAGCCGCGTGACGGACAGCCATAAATCATATCTCGGGGATTTTTGAGAGATTTTCGCAGACTTTCTCGGCTACCTGTGGTCGCGCGGCCATCGCGTCGGGTCCGGGCAAGGGAAAGTTTGCCTCCTCCGGCTCCGAACAAAGACCTCTCGCCACTCGGTTGGCCGCGCGCCGACGCGTTCTCAGGCCAATTTCTCGTCGTCGGGCCAAGGGCTATATTTAAAAAGTTGGTCTTGCACGTGCATGTCGTGCGCGCGCGTCTATATAAAGATTTTTTTATGGTGGCTCGCGCTCGCTCGAGCGCGCCAGCGCTAGTCACTTCCAGATTTTTCGAGTGCGACTTAACGATCCTTCTCGCGTGCAGCTTGAAATAATTAAAACTCAACCCCGTCGCTCGTCCGCTTCTTTGTCTGCAGAGGACGAGGAGCTGAGACTAACATTCCCCGTGCGAGACGGCACGCTCCTGCACCCGTTCCGCTTGGAGCACAATCTTGCGGTGAGCAACCACGTATTCCAGCTAAAATCAACGGTCCATCAAACGCTGCTGTGGCGATCGGACCTGGAGCTGCAGCTCAAGTGCTTCCACCACGAGGACAGAGCGACCAACACCAATTGGCCGCAGAGCGTGCAAATATCGGTGAACGCCACGCCGCTGGTGATCTACCGCGGCGAGGACAAATCGTCGCACAAACCGCTCTACCTTAAGCATATCTGTCAGCCTGGACGCAACACTATCCAGATCACCGTTTCGGCTTGCTGCTGCGTGAGTATACTCAACGCGTATCTCTTGGCTGACCTCTTCTCAGGCGATTCGGGGGGGGGGGGGGGGGGTGCCCGTAACTAGAAACTTGTCGAACGCCGGCCGGACGATTCGTTAAAACTGTCCCATTACGCGGCACGATTACACGGCAGTCGTGCCATCTCGCTTGTTTGCACAGTTGACGTAAGCTCCGAGCAACTTATTCGGTTAACTTATATCGATGCATAGCCGTTGATCGAGCAGTCTTCCTAACGCGTGACTTTATGAAAAACTAGCCGAGTTTGTAAAACCATTATGCTTGGGAATTATAGCGAGTAAGATCCATTCTAATATTTTTAAACATCCGGTTGAGAATTTATGAAGAGGATTCGAAAGAGGACTCTTCGAAACTATAAAACCGACAGACAGGCGAGTCTCCAAATCTCTTTCTCGAGAGCGGTCAAGACAAAAGTACAAAGGGGCGTAGGGCCGGCGCGTCTCAGGTAGTCCAGAGTTTGAGTCAACAAAGATGGGTCATAAATACTTGATACTTAACGACCAACTAATGACCCTTGTGTCGTTGTCTGTTTCGCCTTGCAGTCACACCTATTCGTGCTGCAGTTGGTGCATCGACCAACCGTGCAAAGTGTCTTGCAAGGACTGCTGCGTAAAAGATTACTGCCCGCGGAGACCGGTGTTGCCAAGATCCGCAAAAATTTCAGTAGCGCAGGAATGCCTGGCACCGAAAAGGACGTCATCGAACAGACTTCCATTAAGGTACGTTGTTCCTGTTTCCTCTTTACTTCGTGGTTATTAGATTTTCTTTACCTCGACAAAGGACTTGTATTGACGATGCAATTTCTTTGGTGTACAACAGGTGTCGCTGAAGTGTCCTATTACTTTCAAACGAATAACTCTCCCCGCGAGAGGCATGGATTGCAAACACATTCAGTGCTTCGATCTCGAATCGTATCTGCAACTTAATTGCGAACGAGGAAGTTGGAGGTGTCCAGTATGCTCGTAAGTAACCAGGCGTCCAAAAAATTATCCATTCTGAAAAGAAAAGACAACTAACTCAAGTATTGCTCTTTTTTTAAAACCAGTAAAGCAGCGCAACTGGAAGGCCTCGAGGTAGACCAGTACATGTGGGCCATTCTCAATAATACGACCCAGCCGGAAATCGACGAGGTAACGATAGACTCACAGGCTAATTGGAAGGCAAAGCGACCGGACGAGGATGGCGAATGCAAGAGAAACAGCATGACCAAGGCCATGTCACCAGGCAGCACGAATTTACCGACAATGAATAGCTGGATGGACGGAAACCAGGCGATGAGTCCGTTCATGAATCCACCCGATATGAGCACTATTGCCAGCGGTTCCATGGTGAATGCAAACCAACAGTCTCAACAGCAGCAACAGCAGCAACAGCAGCAGCAGCAGCAGCAGCAGCAAGCTTACGGTGCCCGAAATCCCGGCACGCCGTCCTCGCAGACAAATCCATTGGGCGATTTGGGATTAACAGCTGCTCAAGTGGACTACGCGTCGACGAATCCATTGTCGCACTTGAGCGAGTCGCTGGATCATCTGAACGCCATCGACAAGACACTTTGCGATCAGGTAAGCTTGGCGCATGTGTGCAGGCCTAGTTCGCTTATATGCGCGTGCGAGTGCTGGATGCGTGCGTGAATAGAGCGTAATAATAGACGACGACTTCTAAAACTGTTTGGTCGGTTATATGCAGATGCCCCACACGCCGCACACACCCCACACGCCGGGCAACGCTGGCGGAAATAGCGGCCCCCCGAGCGTCGCCGCAGCCTCCGTTGGCCAAGACAACAGTAGCAACAATCTCAATGCGTCCGCTGGAAGTGGAATCGCCGACACATCCGACATGATCGCCTCCGATCTCAACTTTGATCCTACCACAGTCATCGACACTGACACAGGAACGGAAGCTCTTAGCGTAAGTGTCTTTAGCAACGTTAATTAGTTGGAACAATCATTATGGTTATCAACAATTAAAATTAGTTTTTCGCCGATTTACAGCAACTGTTGCCAGACAGCGTAGTAGATCCGATGGAGCTGCTGTCATACTTGGACCCACCGGACCTAAACACTCCGCCAAGCAGCGGGGCGAGCAGCGGAAATCCGCCGTCGAACGACGACATACTCTCTCTGTTCGAGTAAATTAGCACACGGCGGCTGCGTCGGGGCAGCGCGTAGTTTGCAGCTGCAGCATGCAGAAGAAGGAGAGAGACTCGCTCAAGCGCCAGCCAACGCGCACGCACGCATTCATTCGTGCATGCATATGTGCACACAGAGGCACGCGCGCGCGAAAGCAGACATGTGTATAGAAGAAGCGGGGGAGAGCGAGAAACCGCATCGAGCGAGCGACAGGCGCCAGCCGAAGGGCACCTAGAGATATACATTGTCGTTCGAAGGCCGATATTTTCCGATGTCTCTCTCCAAATGTTCCTAGACTTGCGCCCGCAATCAAATGCCGGACGATAAAACGACTTGCAGTGCGTGTGTCGAGAACTCCAATCGCGATTGAACCCCCTCCCTCCCTCTCCCCTTCAACAATCTTGTAACCCTTCGCCCCACCCCCCTCCCGCATCGACATGGTACAAAGCAGAAAAAAAAACATTTTAGTTATAATTGTAAGTAAGATTATAGGATTCCTATCGACAAACCAGCTATGCCGGAGCTACTACGCGAAGCTCTCTCTCACACTCTTCGAACGTAATATTAAAAAAAAGACAACGTGTGTGTATCGGCGTCCGTCGTACATTTTAGTAGAGAACAATAGTAGTCAGTGTCGCTGCTTCTATAAATGCAAAGTCTATAATAACTACCACTACTACAACTACTACAACTACTACTTACTACTACTACTACTACTACTACTACTACTACTACTACTACTACTACTACTACTACTACTACTACTACTACTACCACTACTATAACTACTACTACTTCTATTGGAAGATCGAGAGAGAAGGCAGCGAAGGAAAACTAGGGTGTGCGGTACATGCGCCACGTATTTATAGTCGAAGTATAGCATTGGTGGGAGCTTTCAGGGATCTTCCAACGCGCGGCGCACTTTTCTTTTCGACTGCGAGATTTTAGAAGCTTTTGGATGTAGGATCGATGATGACGCTCGTAACGAGAATTAATTTATTGCCTGTACAGTCGATTCTCCGTTCCGAGTGTTTCATCGCGCATTGGTGTGGAGATGATGCTGACAAGCTCTTGTGCTGTAAAATTTTTCGAGATAAATTCTTTCTGTATATTTTCGAGAGTCCATCGTACTCTTACTGTAAAGTTTTTAATCCTATTTTTTATTCCTCGTTAAAAGTTTTTAATAAAAAACAGAGTTTTTTCAAATAAACATGTAATTCATTGGTTTTCCCCTTGAAAATCGGTGATGATCGTACTAAAAAAATAAAGTAATCCAAAAAAATAACAAAAAAAAATCTTTGAAATGTCCCGACGAAAAAAAAACGCTGGACGTTTTCAAATGTGTACGTGTGTGTAATTTTTCTCGAAATTCGATGATAAATATAAAATATATATAACGTGTTGTGAATTGCATAACTTTCTCCGACCAATGACGTTTTAGAAAAAAAGAGAGTAACTTCAAAAGTTTCTTATCTCACGATCGTTATATGCGCTGAAGTTTTGAAAGTGAGGAAAAAAAAAACTGAGAAACAACACAAAAGATCCTTGGAAGCTTGGCGCGTGTCGCACACGTGAGAAGTCAAAGTCTATTAGCAAAAAGAATAAGAAAACCAATACTTGCATGAACTGACGAAAAACCGGAGAATAGTCGCTGGTGAATTGCGTAAGCCAGATAAATGAGTAGCGTAACGAGTGTGTGCAAATTCGCAGTTTCGATTTGCTGTCGGCAAGCGAGGTATACACGGGGAAAAAGCAGACGAAGGAATCGCGAGAGAGGCTAATAGACGGGAAACAGAAGATTGCGAGTAAACACTGCCACTGTGTCGTCGCGAATATTGACTAACACAGTGTTATATCTTTAGGAGAACAGAACACGTTATACACGTAACAAAAGCGAGGAAGAAAAATCACTATTGTGACATGCACATTATTCGAACACACACAAGTACACAAAAGCAACACCTGCGTAGCCTAGTTAGATGTGCAGGTCATTAAGTGGAAACTTCAGTAATTAAACTCTAATTTATAAAGGGACAAATTAATAAAGATGCAGAGGCGTCGTGTTTTCACTCGGTTTGAGCGAGCACTACGTACTCGAATTAGCTAATCAGTTCATTCTCTCCTGTTACGAAGAAGAGCCAAGGAAACGCGTAACGACGAGTAAATAATGACTACAAGCTTGCGAGGCAAAGCAAGACCAATTAATGTGAAAAACTTTAAAACCCTCAGCTCTTAATTTCTTTCCGTCGTATTTTTACGTCGAATATCGACCAAAACTATTATTGATCTATTACTCGTCCTGGCGCGTTTCTCTCGGGCTTTCTCCAAGGAGATTATTAGATATATTACAGATTATGCAAATTTTATAAAACATTGTGTGTAAATAAGACAAAACAAAAAAGTTATACGTGATAACAATGTCATATACAACGCGATAGATAAGGAGATAGAACTCCGTGTGAGAAAGAAAGGAGAAAAATATTATACGTGTAGATGTATCGTTAAAGTGAAAGATAATGAAATCCATGCAAAAAAATACTTATTATAAAATAGCAACATACATGCCTCGGATCGAGTTTCTATTGACGCAAAAATAGAACGATTAAACATAAACGATGTTACTTTAGTAACGTGTATCTAGTTTAAGTAAAAGCATTGTAAATATTAATTATTTGTACATATAAAGAATTACATAAATAATATTAAAAAGAGGTGTCAGCTATTATACATTTATCGATCAGAAGAAATTAACGTTACTGTCCTTGACAAATTTTATTTCCGTTTTTTTTTCATTATCTTGATACATTACGTCTGCACACGCAAAAGAAAACACATTCAATATTCTATACTACATTTATATATGGCTGTGATAGGCAGAAAAAGAAAATTTTCCGTTGTTGATTACAGACTATCATTTGACATTTATCCTTAGATTTACCTTAGTACATACGGACACTTTAATTTTCAGTATTGGAATATCTTTATTCGTACGAATAATTTGAAGGTATTAAAAAAACTATCCTCAATATACCGCCATTATTGAATCGTAGTACATTATAAAATTAAATTTAATATATTAATAAATCCTTTAACTCTAAATCTTTTGTAGTTATTTACATGTAAAACTGGAAGCAAAACCATTATTAGAGCTTATCGCGTAGCATTTATACAAAAAAATGTGTGTATCCAAAAAACTTTATTTTTTAACGTCTTTCTTATTATTTTCATTATAATTAAAAATTGTTTAGTTTGGATTTTGACTGTATAATAATTAACTGCATTATTATTAATAAGCACTGTTGTTTTATTTGTTTTACAAATAAAAGAGATTTTATTCTATTATAGTTTTTTTATTTAGTCTATTCATTTTGTTTGTGTGTGTGTGTGTGTAAACGCGCGCGCGTGTACGTGTGTGTGTGATGTGTGTACGTATATGCATTGGCAAAAATCATGATCTCAGCTCATAGAATGTCCTAACTGGAACGTCCTACGGTCGTAGCATGGAATGTCCCATAATTGTGCTACTTTAACAAAAAATCGAATTTTTTTGAAACGCATTACTTTTGTGAAAAATAAATTGCATCCATTTTTAACAATTTTCGAATTCGTTTTTTTAATTATACTATTGTGACTTAAGCAGATGACGTAGTACGTAGTCACAGGAACCAGTATGTTATACGTAGATATACAGAAGAATACACAGTTACCGATATTTCAGTAGATTTCGTTATTCTCTTTCAATTTTGAATATGTTGTAAGCATTAGCCCTCTTTTCTTAAGTACTTTCGAAAAGGCACTAGGTTAGATATTTAAAACAAGTAAAAATGAATGCGAAAATTACGAAATTTACAAGGTATATTCCTGTAATGTACTTCGTTATCATCCTCGCTCTTTGAATAAATTAATTACCGGTAGGCGATATAGATTGAATCAATGTTACCGACCATTATCGACGATCGATAGCTGCGTAATCTTGGTGCTATGCGAAAAGTTATATGATAATAAAAACGAGAATTTTTGCCCTTAGACGTAACATAACCTTAGAGAATTCGAGGTGATCTGATCTCGAGTACAAACCGTTTTCTTCAATACAAGCGCAACTATAACAATTTGTCTTTGCTTATAGAAGATTATTCAAAAAATATATAAAGATGACAACAATGTTCGCAAAGGAAGCTGTCAAATTGATACATGAATTAGATCAATCGGATGAGATCAAACCGTTCAATGTATGTAATAACTTTTTGAAATTTTTGTTTATTTTCTGTGAGTATGTAAGTGTGTGTTTAATATTATTCATTTTAGGAAGCAATATTTCGCACAGCATTGGAAGAGATTCATACATTGTATAATGAAAATCAGAAAGACGCGTAAGGCAACAAGATAATAAATCATAATTATCTTTTCCAAAATTGACCAATATAAAATATACATTTTAGAAATGAATTGATAGAAAATAGAGATATAAAAAACACATTGGTGGTAAGACATCATGCAATGATGAGGAATAAACGTTGTTTATTGGCATATCTTTATCATAGAATTAGGAGATTAAGGAATATTAGGTGGGAATTAGGTAGTATAATACCAGAAGAAATAACTAAGAATTTATTACCAGCTGAAACTGCATGGTTTCAAACATACAACAAATCTCTAGCTATGTATATGAAGTCTATTGGAAAGGATGGTCTTAATATTATGAATGATTTCAAACCCCCAAAATCATTATTTGTTGAGGTAATATCTTTTTTATAATTCAGCAATTAAGATATCATATATTTGTTAATTTATATTTCATTATATGCAGGTGCGATGTGTCAAAGACTATGGTAAATTCGAACTTGATGATGGGCAAACTGTAAATTTAAAAGAAAACACATATCATTTATTACCAAGATCAGAATGTGAAATACTAATCAGACAAGGAATACTTGAGCATGTTATTCCTTCTTGAATAACAGTAATTTTGGTACAATAAAAGTTATTGAAATTTTGTATTCATATGGAGGCATTAGTTCCAAAAATTTATTTTTGTATAATTCAAAAGTTGTGATAAATAAAAAATTCAAAATAAAACTTTCCTTTGAAATGATTAATTTCTTGAGCATTCAGAGTTTGGATACTTAGCTACTTTTAATATTTTAAGGGTATAAAATATTTATGTGATGAAGATATATAAATATACGTTGTTTTTTATTTAGAAGTATTTGTATTCAATATAATGAATGTTATAGTTACAAAAATTCCCCAAGTTAGTTATGTTATGTTTATCAAATAAATAATTGCAAATTAATAATTGATAAGATTATAACTTTCTTTGAATTTCAAAACATTTCATTATGTTTACATTGCTATAATAAATAAGATATTCATTAAAACAAAACTTCTTTCATTTAAATCAATTAAGTCTCCGTTGAAGTAGATCTCATGCAATTTCTTTTTCTCCATCCTATTCACTCTGCTAATTATTTTTTTATGGTAAAATTACAAGTATGAATAAGGTGAAAATTTCGATTCAAACTGAAATAATGGTTTTGGCGATACATGAGCAGTATAATTTTTTTAGAACCTTCAGTTTTTTAAGAAAAATTCCCGAACCGTAAGTGACGTCGTACCTATATTAATTCGTCACCGCGTAAGCTTAGTTTAATGTGGAGAAAATTTTAAGAGAGATCAGTTGTAAAAAACCTCAACTAGGTATGTCAGCATTCAGCCGTAGCGGTAAGTATAGCGCTAGCTGGTTATGCGTATGGCCTTCGGCGGTTCGAAGCGCGCTTACTCTTGAAAAATTTCCGCATACGCCGCTAGAGGGTCGAGAACGTTGCAGACAAGAAAAAGACAGACGTCCGAAAGAGAGAGATGCCGATAAAAAGTTTCCCGATCTCGCGCGATAATGGATATTCTTTCGCTGCCGCACCACGCGAACTTTCAGTCGCGAGTTAAAACTTGTACGAGTAACATCTCGTTAGATGTTGCAGCAAGTTTACAAGTTTTTTTCTTATTTAGTTTTTTGTATCATGGAATGACATTTGTTAGCGACAGTGACATTTATTTTACCGTAAAATTTTGCGCGGGGAGATTATTTGCTTGTTTAAATTGGTAGCATAATTCGAAATTTACGTTAAATATCATACGTAATTTTTCAATTTTCGGAATTAGCTTGGAAATCTTGCGGTTTAAAATACATCGAATTTACCGTTGTTACGGAAAAAAGTAAATAAAAGACAAAAGATGTGGCAACAACAACCAACTCAAAAATTTGATAACTTAGATAAATGCTGCATGGAATCTGGAACTAGTGATTCTGGTTTTCTCTCCTGCAGCAACTCTGCCCTCAATAGTTGCACTTCTGAATTTGACTCAAATTCCATGGATTGTTCATCAGTTATGAAGAACTCCAAAAATGAAATGGATTTTAATATTAATGATAGTTTTAATCAATTGTCACTTGATGTAGTGCCTTTGAATCCTCTTCAGTCTACCAAAGGATGCTTAGAAACCAAATCAGAATCAGATTCTGGAATAATATCCTTGAATACAAGTTCAGGACACAATGGTGATGATCAAGAACCTTGGCAATTGTACTACACTCAAAATGAGGATGGAGATACGTGAGTACAACATTCAATTCTTTTTCAAAAATCAAAAGTCATTTAAAGTCTTTTTGTATTATTAAGATTTTTTAAAAGTATTTATTATTTTCACAATTTCAACAATTTTTTTTTTATTTTTCAACAATTGTCTTTAATTTGAAATTAATAAATTCTCTGAAATTTTATCAATTCCAGACTTTTACATGTAGCAATTATTCAGGGCTTCATAGAGGCTTCATTGAGTTTAATCAGCATATCTCCTCACCCATGCCTCTTGGATATCTTAAATGATGATATACAAACAGCCCTACATCTTGCAGTAATGACTAATCAACCAGAAATTGTAAGAAAACTTGTTCTTGCTGGAGCAGATATCTCCATCAGAAATCATCAGGGTAATACTGCTCTTCACTTAGCATGTATTTCTGGAGACTTGGCATGTACCAAAGCTTTGACTGAGCCGTATGCAGAAAACAAAAGGAACTTTTCATCAAAGAAACTGTCTTTACCTCAAATTTTGGAGCTGAGAAACTACAATGGTAAGTTCAATTCTCCATGCTATTTTGAATTGCAAATTTGAATTTACTACGAAGTTGTGATGGTTGCTGATTCTTATCTGTGACACAAATCAACAAAATTTATTTTAAAATTAATGAAACAAATATTATACTTATTTCTGTGACATAGAATAAAGGATAAGTAATCATTTTGTTTTACGGGTTTTCCGTTTGTTCGTGTGGCCTAAAATAACCTCGAGTGAAATTGAATTTTTGGTAAACCCGAAAACAAAAGTGACGCTATCAGACACCGTGTCTTGACCTACAAAGTATTTTGTGAAAAAAAACCGTTGAATTAATATCTAGTCTGAAGCTTAATAAATTTACCTTAAACTTGTACATGAATAAACTTACGCAAGCGTATTGGTGATTAGATTTTCGTAGGTGTTAAATTTTTAAGCTTTCGTTTTTTTTCCTTAAAAAGTTTGAATGAATATTTCGAAATCTCATAATCGATTCCAGGATAATCGACGTTACAGCAATATAGACCCTAATTTTTTTCCTCTACTGCTCACTGGCCTTTCACAATTGATTCATTAATTTATTTATTTATTTACTAATCAAATTTTATATTCGGCAAACTTACAAAAAAAAGTACACGTATATAGTTACCTGTACGTAAGAGGATTTACATTACATAAAATAAAATAAAATAAAATAAATAATTAAATAATACAATAATACACCAGAAAAAAACTTTGTTCACATTAACAATTCATTATTTTGCATTACATTTATCTCCACCTTTCATTAAGCTGTCGAATTTTTTAAATATTTTAGCAGCAACGAATTGGTGTTTTCGCAAAGTAAGAGCTAGTTTTTTGTAGTTCTCCATTACGGCTTCAAATATGAAATGTTCTTTTATAAATAGTGGTAGTGTTAGGTCACTGTAGATTTTCTAAGTATAGTGTTGATTAATCTAGTCTGTATTGTTTGGATACTGTTCAAAGTATAGTCATTCGCTCCTCCCCAAGCAATAATACCGTACGTGGCGCATAATAGATTGTGATCAGTACGATTAAGCAATTCATATGTTTAAAAAACTGCTATCAATTCACTTTTAAGATACGGCGGTAATTGGTGTGCATAACTGCACTTTATCGTCTTGTTTTTTTTTCTTTCGAGTACACGATTCACGAGAGTTCGCGAATCGCGACGAAAACGCGACACCTCCGGAGCACATTGTTAACACTCAATTTGCGTGTGCATGCAACGTTGACAATACTGTAAAAAACACAATCAAGTCGAAATGATTTTCCCATTGAGCGCTACGTCATTCGTCAAGACGCTCTTTATGTCCTTGCTATATCTGCAAATATCGCGTTGCGCCCGCAAGGTCAATGAACGCGATCGAGGGTTTTTTTTTTCTGTTTCTTTGGCGTGTGAAATATCGCATACGTAGAGCGCCGTGGGAACGCCTTTATAAAGCTGCAGTATGACGGAAGCGAGCCGGGAGCTGCCGTTATTTGTCGATCAAATCAATCAGTCGTAAGCTATCCATTCAACGTACTCGTGCGTTCCATCTATTGACTCGCGAAAATTATACAGCGAACCTCGCGCATTTCCGTCGGCGTCTCACGCGATTAAACGACAAAGAAGAGGTAGATGATGATGGGCTGAGTATAATAAGTTACGATTCTTTACGATCGTCGCTAATTCGAAACTCGTTATTGTCGCCTGATGTAATGAGGCGTCAAGAGGTGTCTATGCATTATTCGCGTGTGAAAAAACAAACGTGGAAAAAGGCAATAATAAAAAAAAAAGCGTTGTCCCGTATTCATTTAATGACCCTCGCCGCGAACACTTTTACTTTTTCTTTGCCGGCGCTTTCTCTCAGTTTCGGCTAGCTTCTGATACATGTCCTTGGTCTTGAGATCCAAGCTACACCGCTATTCGCTAGTCTCGTGAGCCGCATCGGCAGCGCGTCTGCACTTTGGCAAGCACGAGGAGGAAGAAAATGCTTCGATTTTATTTTCGCGAGCTTCCTGTACTTTGACGCTTCTCGATTTTTACGTGGCTTTCTTTCCTTTTGCATGGACAGGTTCGTTTCTTCGTTGGCTGGCCGCGCTTTCCGTCGGATATTTTCTCAGGTTGCTTGCTGCCGCTAAAAAAACCGTCCGCCACTTGACCATTCCCGTTGCCGAACTCGCCGTCGGGCCACTCGCAGCTATGTGATGTATAAACACGTTATTTATGCGCTGCGTGTTATTTGCACGTTAATGCAGCTTACGAGAGGATAATTTTTTAATGAAAACGTTCATCATCCCAAGTGAGTCATTGATCAATTAATGCATTAGCTAGAGGTAGTTACGTTATGATTTCAGTAGTAGCTCTTCGTTAAATATAATTAAGTTGGGTATCCATATTTTGCAATATTACAGTTCAGTGATATCTCACCGATTTAAAAATGAGATAGTTTCATTCGGCATTTTCTTAATTTTGAATTTTGAAGTAACTTTGGTATGATAAACTTGATACTTCTTTTACTACAATTTTGGTGAAGCATTTGTGCCACGGTATTAGGTCGATAAAATCCATATGCTAAAGAAAAACAAAAATACCAGCCACGAATTGAAGTTGATTCATCATCTCTATACACGCAAGGTTATCGATTATTTGTGTTGGCAGTAAGAAAATCAATGTTCGCGCATTCAGCGCGAAAATAACTGCATGTGTCAAAGTCAAGGGGGTTTGAAAATCCATAACGATCAAAGCAGCGTCTGGGCAGAGGCGCGCGACAAAAAGATTCGGAGAAAATCGATTTGAAATATATAAGAGGCAGCTGTTATGTATGGGTCTTTCGTGCGCTCGGCCAAGAGAGCGAGAAACGGATCAAACTTGAACGAGCTCTTTGGAATTCCCCAAGTTATATGCGCGCCGTTCGAAAGTTGATCGCACACGGCCTAATCGCGTGAATGACATCATAAAATCATTCGAGTTGCGATGTGATTTTTTGTAAAAAAAAAAGAACTTTTCCTTGCCTCCGTTTTTAATCGATCACCTCGAGAACAATCTCAAGACAATCGATCGGCTAATTGCACATCTGCTGCTCGACGAAAGCCGCCGAGATAACGTTATTTAATCTTGGGCTTAATAAAAAAAAAGTACCGAACTGAATCGGATAACAAATGCTTTAGCAAACAAATGACGCCGCATGCAGAGTATATGTGCAGAATACTTGGCGTTACGAAACGTTTAGCTGTGCAGCTTTCGTACAATGTCGCGCAGGTCGCGCCATTATAACCAAATTATACGCGCGAAGAGAACGGGGATACGCGATACGCGCGGTGCCGCCGCGCGGAGTGATATATACGCGAAAAAGATAAAAATTCTCGGGAATCCCAGAAAAGGTGGAGAGAACGCCTGGAAATCTACTTTTTTCAAAGCTAACTACGTTTCGCTTGTGTAAATAAAGTGGTGATGTCAGCCTTGACATTACAAAAACCTAATTAATATTTTTTGTTTCCCCTCGCAATGGCCACACTTCAAAATCGACCTGTCCGTAGGAAAACTACCCGCTCTTTCGCTAGGCTCGACTTCTCTTCGCTATTAATGAAAATTCTTCCAAAGGCGATGTGAGTGATAAATTTTTAACGTCGCGTTCAATGATTATTGTCGCATCTGAAGAAATAGTCCCACGATATCACTTCATATACAAATGATGTCCAATCGCGCTAATGCACGTAGGGTTCGTAGTTGACGAAACGCACATTCAAAAAGTCCAATGTTGCCTTATGAATGCTTTTACTGATGCAATATAAAGAATGACTTATCAACGCACCGAAAATTTCCCATTACGCAGTTCCACGAAAAAAAAAAAGAGAAAAAGAAAAGACAAGCTCTATGCGAAACGTTATAAAGAGAATCATATCTTGTGGTTGCAGGACAAACGTGTGTCCACATCGCTGCATCCAAGGACCAATTGCATCTAGTCAGAATTTTGATCGACGCCGGTGCAGATCTCGAGGCTCAAGAATACTTGGCCGGTCGCACAGCCTTGCATCTCGCCTTGGAGTACGGTTGCGGGAATGTCGTCTCGTTCCTCATCCGCGAGTGCAGATTAAGCTTCGATGCCGTCACTTATGCCGGTTACACAGCCTACGACATTGCCAGTTGCATCGACGAGAGTCTAGCGAAGGAATTGGTCAGGTATGGCGCTATACCGTCGCAGCACGTCACTCGGGAGAGCCAAGAGTATGGCCAGACGATGGCGCCGATTTTCGCGACCGCCTGCGGCGTTTAACGTCGATCCAACTTTTGTTATAGATACACAATGTGCTTACTCGGCCAGATAGCTGCCCCCGCGCGCGTTATTGATTTGTTTTTCCCGTTTCGCGGACCTCTCGAGATTTTATGTAGTATTTACTTAGATCGCGAAAGATAAGCTTTGGATTTTTCAATCGAAAATCAAATTGTGTGCATGCGTGCGTGCGACAATATAGTTTTAGACCAAGTTGACTAATGTTTACAAATCTCGTTGCGTATGCAAATGAAATCGGTCGCGAAAGATTTACATTTTGCGCGCGAGCTTGCAAGACTCACTCGCTTAACAGGCTTCGAAGAGGTGAACGTGTGCGCAATGTTTATTGTCTAATTAGCATTATACGTTTAGTAAATAATAAATTTTTAAGTTTAACGCTAAACTATTCCAAAGTCCACGTGGCTTTCGGCAACAATTACTGAATTTTTCTTTTGGTCGCCTTACGAGCGTTGGAAAAGATACCGCATTATAACGGATCATTATTGAAAACGTGGTGAAACCCCTTTGGTGAATGAGCGCATGTAGTCCTTATAAAATATGTTCGTTTCAAGGCACACGTATATAGATATGTCGAATTTGCGTGCTTTTTTTTCTGCCTCTATCCGCATTAAAGCCGGACCTAGTCTACGTCATAATTATTTATAAGCATCGTAGAAAACGTTCAAAGAGATACATGATGACTCTCGTAACGCTCTCGCCATTATTCCATTGCTATTAGAATGACTGTTGTATGAAAATATTACAATATTTACATTGATAATTCGTTTTATAAATCCTTAAGACCAATTGGCTAATGCGTATTTATGATCGTATTTGTAAAAATAAATTTATTTATCTGTCGTTCGAGCCTAAAGAAGAAGTCCATGATTATCTATTACACACATTCGAAAAATTCGTTTTCTCTTATATTGCGCATGGTACTTGAGCGAATAAATGTGCGAACGTAACGTATTTAGTCATTAAAAGTATCGGTACCAGAGCGAAAACATACCATAGGTAGCTATTTACAGTGTGCGTATAATAGATAGATTGTTTACCTTAGCAGTACTCTTCTTGATGAATATTATTATCATTTAACAAGGATAATATTCATTAACAGGATTAGGTTATACAATATTTTGAACGAGAAGCATAATATTCTTCAGTTTCTCATACAGTGGACTAAAAATAAATACTGACACCTAACACATTTTCATTTTAAGAGTTTTGATGAGAAAAAATGATAAAATCATAACAAGAAACCAGCGACAGTGGCTTAATTGGTATACTGTATTTAGAGAAAAACTCTGTAACCGTTTATAATTTATGTCTTTACAACAGTCTGACTCGAATATGTTAACTATTTTGGAGTATGGCTTCATCATGAAAGTCCAAATGTAAAATAGCTTTAATCATGTCTATATAAACAAAGTACTGAATAATATTTAGTCAATTTTATTTTAAAAACGACTGTACATATATGTAAATACGATTTTTTTTATGCTAGCCATTATAACTATAGTGAATATTGCAGTAACAAGAATATGGATTTATTAAAAAACTGTGAAATAAATTTTTGAACTATCAATAAGATTTAATCATTGTGAAATCCAAAATACTCACAATCATTGTTGCGAATAATAAATTGGCGAACCTATTTCTCATTGCAGTATTTATGTAAAAATATTTAAAAAGAAAAAAGTGAAAGAGATCACGAAGGTTCCTCTAGGATTCCTAATAATAAATTCTTTCCTTTTTTTCTATAAAATCAGAAATAAATGACTCGTCAATATTGTCGCGTACGTGTAATTATCGTATAGCGTAACAATAGTCAAAGACGTGGAGATAAAGAATCGTGTGTCGTGCGTGGTATTCTAACTATCGGAAATACCCAACTAGTTCGTAACAATGGAAAAACCTATATATCAGGTTGCGCCTATTACACTCTCCGTATTGCTTTTCAATCTAGTTTCCTGTGATGAGCAACGCGATGCAACGCATGTACGTGGCCACATCGACGCATCAATGTTTATAAACTGCAAGTGAGATAAGCGATACATAGAAATATGATGCGTCTCCTCATTGTTCACTTAGAAGATAATTTTTATAGGCTTGTCATGAATTACAAGCTTTTATCAATCAAACTTATTCTTACCCGATTACTCTAGTTGCGTAGATCGATCAATATTCGTACTTATTTCAAAGAAATATAATTTTTCATGATGCCAAGAGAAAACATCTCTTTGCTCCTTCTAAGTGAGTTCGCCTAGCGACGAAAGGGATCACCCAGGAAACCGGTTCTAAAACAGAAAGGTAGTGCAAAGGCTCCACTGTGGAAAGAAAGTAGAGCAAAACGACAGGCATCGAGCAGCGCGAAGTCGCGCAGCTGCACGGGAAAACCCCATTCATTCTCGCATTTCAAATCGAAGTGCTCCAGTCGTGAGGTGTCGCCAGTGTAGCGCACGCCTATACACGTACAGCCTGTACGCTATACAACTATACTCTGTGCAGTGTACACACGCTAGCACTCGGCGTGCGCTTACGCGTCCTCAGTCAGTCTATATCAACAAGAACGTCAAGACGTTACACGGCCTGCTGCTCGCTTCCAGTCACTGTGGTCTGTGCGCGTGCTTCTGTGTATTTGTGGCCAGATACTTTATATACTCATCTTACGTGCCGGGGAAAATAGGTTTTCCCACACGGCTCGTGACGTTTCACCGACGTTGCGCCAAATCAGCCGAAGCGTGTGTGTCGTGTTGCGACTCTCTACACAACTTTGCTCTGGTATGTGCCTGTGCAGATCGAATGAACGCGACGATATTATGCCGAGGAAAAAGTGACGCGCGTCAAGCCATTAGGGAGCTCTTCTCTCTTTCTCTCTCTCGCTCGCTCTCTTTTATACCTCCCGGGAAAGAACGCCAGAGAGGGAAGCGTCTATAGCGTTGCCTACCCACGCTATTGGGGAAAAATCAGCATTTTGACCCTTGTTTGAAGTTTCTAGCAACGCGTCCTGTGTAGACATTTTTGTGGATTTTCGAAGCTACGTACGTCGTCTGCCACCGCGCGTCCTTCGCTTGCGTTCCTGCAAGTACGTATACCTAATCTATTTCTCTCTTTCACATGCTTTTCGTTTACTTATTTGTGATTTGTGTACGAGCGTCCAAACGACAGACATGTTTTCTAATTGGACCTCCTGTTTCGTCGAAAATCCAAATACCTGTGCGAACGTTTAGACTTTATTTACGATTCACTGCTTACCGTTACTACATTTTCCATTATTATTATTTATTTACTTTTGATTAAGCGTTCTAATTTTTTTATATATACACAATAATATACATATTTTTAAATAACCAATACGAATGAGAAACAATAATTTTTCAGTTCAGTTTTTCATTTTTCAAATACGTTTTTAAATTGTTGATTTCGAGGTTGGGTTTATTACATCAATTTTTTATATTGAAAAAGTGAAAGTGAGTTCTAGCAGTTGTAAAAGAATTTTTTTTTTACCACTCGACATGGAAACTTGAATAGAGAAGCGAAGTTTCTAATCATAACATTTTTCTTTTATTTTGATAATCTGCAGGTGAAACATTTTGAAAGTGTTTTATTCACCACTAATATCGCCATGTGGGAACAAGCAGCCCAAAATCTACCTGACACTGGAAGAGCAATGGATAAAGACAAACAACAAGTTGATTTCAACATAGATTCTGGATTTTTATCAGGTAGCAACTTGATTAGTTCAGAATTGAGTATTGATTTGGAGAATGAAGAGCAAAGAAATGAAGAACTTAAGGTGGCTCCTGAACCCAAAAACGCTAGTGAAAGTGGATTAGATTTTGGTCTTACTGATAGTTTATACCAGTTATCTCTGAAAGAAGGTACCACGGACAGCAGGAGTATCCACCCTGATACTAAAGATATTGAAGAAAGTCTGAGTAATGAAATTACCGATGATCAGTGGGATGTTTATTATGCCCAGAATGATGATGGTGACACGTAAGTGCTTACTTAGATATTTATTTGAACCGTTACTGTTTTTCTTTTAAATTTGTTGTTTGTAAAAGAAATATTATATTTTCAGGCAATTACATATTGCAGTAATTCAGGAACTATTAGAAGCAACATTTTTCTTAATCAATCTTGCACCTCATCCTTGTTTACTTAATATCTTGAATGATGATTGTCAAACAGCATTACATCTCGCAGTTTTAACACATCAACCAAGGGTTGTGAGGCAATTAATTTTGGCTGGAGCAGACCCTGATATGAGAGATTTTGGTGGGAATACAGCTCTTCATCTCGCGTGCGCTTCTGGAGATTTAAATTGTGCAAAAGCTTTGAGCGATCCACTCACACCAATTGAAAAACAATTGTTAGGAACAGAAGGACAATTACAAATTTTGCCACAGGACTTGGAACTGCGTAATTATACTGGTAAGTTGAAAATTTTTTATTTTTTCCACATATCACATAGCATAGTTAAGATTATAATCACAAGCAAATATTGTTTGAAGCTACAATACTGCATGGTCATTTAGGATTAGCACGTAGATAGTAAATCTTTACGATACTTGAATAGTTCAAATTTTATTTTTTTTTCAACTTTTTTAATGTTTAATCAAAATTTCCAATTTGATACACAATCACAACGATGAGACGATATTGGTTTAAACATTAGTCTAAAGGTAGTGATCGAAGGCGCGAAGAGAAAGAGGTCGAGCGAGCGTTCTTCGGCTTTCCCCAGGCACTTTCCAACAGGGTATTGCCGTACTTGGTTTACGTACACGAGTAATGTAGAACAGCTCTGTTACGTGTAAAAGAAAGACCGTTCGCTTAAACAATTGGCGCAAGATCTCGAAATCACATGAATCGTTAAGGAACCTCATTCGCACGTTCTACGTCCACCAGCATCATTGCATATATCCTCCGTTGACCCATTGAATACGAGCTTGCATGTCAGCGATAGACAAGTGGGAAAAATAAGGACGACGATACGAGCTCCTGGCTTGAGAGCAGAGCCACGGGACCGACGACATCGTTGCGCGCGTAGCGCCGTTGCGCCAGGGTCAACGGTCGCGCTTGATTTCGATAAGCCTCTCTTTAACGTTCCTTCTTGCTCTCGGCGTTCTTTTCATCAGCGTCACGAGGGCCGCTTTCAACGCCGCGCCACGCTAGCAGCAGCAGATCCCACCTCTAGATACAGCTTTTCGCGTGGAAAATGCTGTGCATCCGCGAACGCCCGCCAGGCCTTTTCAGACGTATGCCCGTCGCTGTCTCGTTCGGCGATTGGTTATCGTGGGATCCGGGCAAGCAAACGTTGCAGTGCACAGATAAACTTTACCGATTGGGAGAAAAGCGAAGCTTTGTTGGCGTTGATTGCCTAGTTTTGCTTGGGCAACATACAAGTCGGACAAGAAGAACCGCGATTACATAGATATTACAATTCTCGCACTCGCAATCTCCATTTGGCATTGAAAATTGACGATGTTTGCTGAAACGCAATCCTAATTAGCGAACGGTCGATCGGAAATTGCTAGAGTAATAGAATTTCGTTGCTTCTCATTAACATAGTGCTGTGGATTTGTACACGGGTGTCCGTCACGATTTCTGCACACATTACAATCAAAACGTCAAATGCTTTCCATTGCGAACTGGCTTCGATCATCATTTATAGCGTTTCCACGATCCCAAGGACTCAGCTTAATAAGCGCTTCCCATTGCAATGTGTGTACATGCCAACGGAACTATCGCGCGAGGTTTTTAAAGTCTCGGGATTCCCACGTGATGTCATTTCTCGAGACTCCTCGGCGCGGCGGCTTTCGTTCGCGGCAGTTTTCTCGTCGCGCCAGAATTTCGGCAGGATAAATTATCGCTCGAGGATTTGACGATTTTAAGACTTTCTTTTTGGGATACTGAAATAGTGCATTACGTTATGCCTAGTGAATTCGATAGATTTTTTTTTTATCTTTGCTTGACTTGCTCTTCATTACTCTACAGTTTCGAAAGGCTTGTAATTCAGTGGAATATGTTATTGTTTCCCAACAGTCTCCTGATATTTTTATTGCACTTTACGTACATCAAGAGGATACTACTTTATTTCTCGTCGTTTATTGAACTCGACTGAATTTTCGGAATTTTGGCCAAGATTTTTTTTATTTTATTCGATATGATAATGTTGGTCGACAAAGTACGCGCGAGTATTGCAAAATTTCCTGTTTGAGTTTTCGAAAGTTATAAACAGCAAGTTTTGATAAACCAGAAAAGATTACACTCACAGTCTGAAAAGGTCGCTCGCGACACATTTATTATGGCGATACAAGAAGAAACTGCAGGTACAAAAAGTCAATAGTACAAATGCAACGATTAATCGGGTGCTTTCGTTATCGACGTCAGGTATTCCAAGTTAATTCCAAATTGTACGATATACTTGTTTAAAAAAGACGATGGTCAAATAGCGAATTGATTAAAACAGCTGCGCGCATATTTGATAATTTTTCACAGCGTAGATATGCAATCAGCCGTGCGCGTATCTCTGATCGTGCGAAGAAACGATGTGTCATCTAATATCGCGATCCATTATGAATCCATCGCTTACGTACTTTCACCGTCTGAGATTTTCTCCGTCGTGTAAACCGTATTGACGGACGACAGTGGCGAACGATCAATATTTAATCGTGTGTGTGGAGTGCAACCAAGGACGAAATATGTCGATTGTTGAGTTTAATTACACACGGGCTATTCCACGAGAACGGCCATCAATTCGATGATACGAATGCTCTACTTTCCGTAATGCCAGCGTGCGCACAAAAGACAGATAGAGATAAAAATATATATCGAGTAAATCATTGTTAGAACAAGTGAAGCTTTGGAAAATCCACAATTCCTTTTATAACCGGAGCCTATATCGCGCGAGCCGAGCGCGGGCCAGACATTTGGGTTATATATCGAAGCTTCTGGCTGGTGGCTCTGGCAGGTCAATGTGACGTTGTGTTATGTGGGGAATCCCCAACGGCGGATGGCAAGCTCTCTCTCTCTCTTTCTCTGCGCCGCTTGCGAGTGTAGAGCGTCGTCGCTCGAAAGCTATATTTCTTGCCGCGAGCCTTTCCGCGTGACTCTTTCGTCGATGATATTAATTATAGAAATTGGCACCACGGCTCGCTGTACATCATTTGCTTTTTAATGCTGTTTTCTTTTTCGGAGGAAAACGGTTCGTCTTATTTTTTTTTTTATCTTGCGCGGACGGCTATTTTCATTGATAATTGACGTCATTCGCGCGAGGAATATAGAGGCCGGTTCGATGCGCGCTACCAGCATTTGCGGATCTTGACAACTTTCATTTTTGTTGTTGCTCGCCTCAATTTTAAACATACACTCTCTCTCTCTCTCTCTCGTTTGTTGGCCATGCAGAGTGTATACGCACAGCTTTTCTGCCTGCCGATTTTTTATTGCTTCATTAACAAGCTTGTACCATAAAACTCGCTGCACATTTGGCGATAAATTTTCAAGGCGTTTTTTTCTTCTTTTCCCCTATGCAAATGACCTCACTCCCCGACAATGTTGCGTTATATGCCTGACGGATGGGCGTGCATCGTTCATACTTAAAATTTTGTTTATTTATCGAGCATTAAGTAATGAAGCGATGACACATCTGCATAAAGTTCGAGCGAGTTCGGCGTGAGAATAATCTTACTTCTTTATTTTCCCTATGCAAATTTCTCGATATCGCTTTTATGAAATTTATGTGTCCCGCTTATAAATACATTGTAGTTGAACTTTGGTCGTTATTTAGTTGGTTTTTTTTTTTAATTTTTTTTTGTCGTGCCAGAGAAAAGAAAAAAAAAATAATAAAGGCGAGCCGCCGTCAAAACACGCAACAAAGTGTCACGGACGTTTGGCTTGATAATGTCACGGCAAGGACGAAAAATCATTGATATTTTTCCGTTGACCGAGCAGATTAGTTCGTGAGCGCACCGCTTGCGCGTCGAATCTATCGCTCGCGCGAGTGCTTTTGTCGAACGAGCGATCTTTTATTATTACTTTTTTGTTTGTTTGTTTTCAATCGGTAACCTTGGGAAAAACCAATTCCATTACGATTGTCCGAGTTGGCGAGCGAACAGCTCGCGCAACAATATTCTTCGTTGCTCGCCGGGTCGCCAACGAGGCAATCCGCGAGTCCATCGGGGAATCTCTCCGTCGGTCCTGTCGCCGTCATCGTCGTCGACGAAGTCTTTCGAGGAACTTTCCAAATAGAGAGGCCAGGCGAGAGCCACGCAGCGGCCACCTTGGGAGCAGATTCGCCTTCCGAAATCGGCTTGGGCTTGGTATAATGCGCGCGCGCAACAAAAGATTCACAAAAGTGGCGCGCGCTGGTGAAACGCCGAGGGCGACGCGGCGAGGAGGGAGAGCTTTAATCTCGGGGAATTCCCGCGCAGCGTTGCCGCCGCGAGAAGGACGGCCGGAAGTCTGCCTCGCACTCGGACTCTCACCCGCCGCCGTGCACTCGCGCGACGTTACATCATTGCGCGTGTGCCGCTGGCTCCCTGCGTACGTGTACGTATACCTGTGGTCTCTCTCGGGAAAAGCCCAGCATTGGCGCCGCGACAAGGGGCACTCGTAGTCGAGGGGTCACGCGCGATCGTTCGCTCTCTCGCTCTCTCTCTCTCTCTCTCTGTCTTCGACTTTCTTTGCTTGGCGCGCCGTGGCTCTCTTGGAAAAACCAGGCCGATATTCCGAGGCATCGCGGCACCTCGCGACGGGACGACGGCGGTCATGGAAGCCTTATCGATTTCAGAGCGCCGGGCTCGGTACGCGTTCCTCGCAGACGCCTCGACGGCCGCACGAGACGTCGCAAGCGTACGATTTGCAGCGGGCTCCGGAGTATTTGCGTCGCGCTCGCGAGAGCAGCCCGTTTATTATTTAGCCAAGTTTCAAACAAGACCGGCGCTCCAGAATTAACCGGATTAAAAATGGGCCATCTCGCGCCGGTCGTGTTCGCGCGGCCGTTGTCATCGTTGCTCGCCGAGTTCCTTGACTTCGGGCCGCGCGGACCAATCGCTCGCGCCGCTGCGCATCGGAAAATGAAGCGCGGAACAAACAACGGCCGAGCCCGTCTTAAGCGTTGAATCAAAGGTCGTAGGCGAGCGCCAGTAATAAACGGCAGATGCGCCGGGAGTCCCATCCTCCAAAATAGCGAGCGGCGGCCAATCAAAGGCGGAAAGTGCAAAAGCCGACTGCATAACTCGGCGGCGCTCCGCTTACGCGTGCAAATAGATGCAGCCTAGCTAAAGATAGCCAGTCGCGACAGTTAATTTTAGGCGCGGCGTTTGGTCGGTGTCCGAGCCTAGTTTGGCTGACGGGACGACGGCCAAGCCGTCTCACTCAACGTGATTCATCTTCAGAATGAGAGAAAGACGCTACGCTCGTCTGCTTCGCTCTCGCTTTCTCTCTCTCTCTTTCGCTGTCTTCCGTATACCGCAGACATGCGTGTGACCGATTGACGATCATACGCTTCCTCGCGGAAACTTGGCTTTTCCATGCGACGCGATTGTTCTATCACTTTTTCTCTTTTTTATAAGGGCAAAGGTTGTTTTGCTCTTTCTACGGATAGGAGGGATTGTACGGCTATTTTGGCTGAGAATCTAGAGAATAATGAATGCCTTGCGGGTCATTCACGAAGATTCAAGGCGGAGTATGAATGGAAGCGCTTGAATGTGAAGAAAGTAGATACCCGAATAAAATTTTCTCGTTTCAACGTTTTTGCAATTCAAGAGGTTTATGCTTTCCGCTTTCGATTTTTGTTTGCTCATCAATAGCGTCTCCGTCGGTAACATGTTAATTTCGGCCTCGCAGGGCAAATTAATAGTATACCCGCCACAGCTAGGAAATTGGCAAACCCCTAGCCCCCATTGTCAATTCTTACACGTTTCCCGGCCTAACTACGAAATCTATTACAAATGCCCAACGACTTATCTACGCGTTCGGAAAATCCCGCTTTCGTGTGACGCTTGATTCTTGCAGTTCGATTGATGTGGCGATATGTATTGATAAATTTATCGATAGACTTTTGGTAAATTGGGTGCAAGCACGCGAGATGAATTATTTCACACGGAATGTTTCAAATTTATAATTGTTTTACATTATTAAATTGAGAAAATAGGCCACGCCGGTGTGGCACATTGTACGCAAAAGCATATGATACTCCGAGACTTCTATAGAAGTTTGTGGGTCACAGGGAAATTTTTTTATGCGCCGATTTCTTTCTCTTGCTTCGGACGGAAGTTTTGCTGAATCATCCGTTTACAGAGGATTTAATGTACACATTAACTGCTTATACATAAATAATTAATTTGTAATTACTCAGCGCGTTAGAAAACAGCTCGTTATTTTTTTGATTACGGCACTTTTCATAAATATTTTGTGGTCCGACGGAAGCCCGCAGAACTTTATTTACGAAAAGCGTCATTGAAACAAATAGGTTTTCACCGTGCAATGATGTATTATACTTATGTGTACACGAACCGAATAAAATTCGCGTATGACTGATGGAATTTTGTATTTTTAGGCGAGAATTGTATCCATGTAGCTGTCTTGAAAGGCCACATCGAGCTGGTTCGCCACTTAGCGGAATTGGGCGTCAATTTGGAAGCTCGCGAGGGCCTAGCTGGCAACACACCATTACATATCGCCATTGAGAATAAACAACTGGAGATAGTGATGGTGCTGTTGCGCGAATTCTCGATCAACCTCGACGTTTGCAACTATGGAGGCGAATCGGCTCATCTTTTCGCCCTTCGATACAACGAGCCTCAAATCGCCCAGGAGCTTGTCATGCGCGGTGCAACACCCGCTCAACTTGATGATGACTCGGAATCCGACTCGGAATCCGATGACGAAGAACATGATAGCGAGGCGTATATCAGGGCTCTTGCTCGGCTTGGAATAGTTTCCAAATCGGCCGTAGCTGCGATATAAATTTCAATTATCGCGATATATCGATTCCGTTAATCTGCTCGTATGATGGATATATAAGTTTTTAGCGAGACTGGTAGTTCTGATTTTATTGATTGGAGTTATTTTTAAATGTTGAATAATTAATTATTGCGTGAGTACATAATTTGGTTAGTGTGGAATTTTTATTGATTGTTTGGATCAATTGATGTTTTCTTATAAGCTTTCAATTATAAACTGTTTGTTTAGACTAATTAAATTCAATTTCTATTAATCGGGAAAGCTATTTCTTTTGTGTTCTAGTGAGTTATATTGTTGAAATTACGTTTTTTCATCATATTATTAATTAATCAAACATTGGACTATTAGACAAAAATTAAATGATTGAAAGAATTTCTGTAATGAAAATTTTGAAAATTTCATAACGAATTTTGGATTTTATACAGAACTTATTAAAACATGTGATAAACATAAATTTCAACTGTACATACATCAATAAATATTAATGTCAATGGAATTTTATTAGATGTAAATATACATTTTGAATGAAAAGTCGTATTATAGGAAATCAAAAATCACATAGTCTATGTATTTAATTTTCACAAAATTAGCTTCGTTCACTATGCTGCAATATCACATTCACATAAATTTTAAGCACAGGGTAATCCTATGTATATGATTGCTTGTTTCCAAGAAAGAAAACTAAGGTATCTATTTGGTTATGCCTAATGTGATAATACCTAATGCCTAACTAATAATAGGTATTTTCAATCTTTGTTAAAGAAATGACTGAGCTTAAAATATTTGTCATAGTTCAATGATATCCATTACAATTCGTTTAAATCATCCATATATTATTTTTTACATTATCTGAACATTATTTCAGACTCCGTTCGTGAATTAGAATATCCAAACATTTATCGTGTGCGTTATTATTTTGTAAATAAGAAAATAAAATTTATTAGGTATTCATACTAAATTAAAGACCATTTGTACCTGTACTTATATTATAAACTCTAACTTAATTTAGCAATCATGAATGGAATCTCAATTGTTTTTTTAACGATTGAAATTGGAAAAACAAGGATAAATATTTCTACTAAAATGAAAACTGCATATATTTATAAGGCGTGGATAATTGTTTATGGTTTTATTATACAATTGTGTACAGTAATATGGCGTGTTATAGTGACAGATCAGCATCTTCACTATCAATTGACGTTTCTTCAATTCGATTTCGAAAAACGCATTTGCACTGTGAGTTTATGTAAACACAGTCGTGGATGATATGCAGGTATAGAACATGCTTCGCGAAGATGACAATTGCTCTTTATAGTAATGATATCTAATGCTTTGCTAAAAAAATTTTCGGTGAAAATTTATTAGTATTTCCTTAATATTGTGCAATATCTTTCTTCGCAAGCACGTTTTAGAAATAGATCTATGCCACTAGTTCCCAAGTGCTTTTCTTGTTTCCAAATCGTAAATTTTTTCATTATGTGCGCATATAGGCGCGTTTGTTCGAGAAATTGTAATGTCAGGTCGTTCTCTAATTTCTCCACTATCTGTAAATGTTTCCCAAATATTAAAGAATAAATCCATACTTTTCCGAAAAAGCTGATCAAAGGTAGCTCATTCAACAGCGACAATTTTTCGTCCGGTAACATTTCTTCGAATATCTTGTACTACAAACCCTCGGGCACTATCTGCAGCTCCAATGGTTCTAATATATTTGATAATTGCACCTCGTTCTCGAATATCTGTTGCGTTTCTGCCAATTCTTTGCGTTATTACACGTAGATTTCATTCTGTGCCTGATCGAATTCCATTTTTCAAAAAAAATTTAAGCTGACGTTGTATTTCCAAGAGACGTCGGTCGAATATTCGCTTTAGCAAAGCATGGCCAACACCTTCATATCATCCACGACTGTGCTTATACTAATTCAAAGTGCAGATGTCAGTGTTTCAAAGAATTCGGGGACATCGAAGCGGAAAGGCAAGAAAGAATATGGAAAGATGAAATTGGAAAAATGTCAATCGATAGTGCTGAAAAGCAGCAGCAATAGGCGTGTATTATTTTTGAAGCTATGTTATTGCGCACAATAATTTGTGTATGTAATAAAATTATGTATAATTGTTCGTACACGCCATATTCATAAACCCATTTCATAGGCAAATAGATTTTATAATAAATGTGTATAGTAATTTTATTTATTCAAAATTCAAATCAATTTTTTACTAATCGTATAAGATTTACTTAGCAAAATTGAAAAATAAACAAATCATAATATATTTGAATTAAGGATGAGACTAGATTATAAGAATCGACGTGTCTTCCGTCGTTTTCTAAAAAGGAAAGCTCTCTCAATCCATTAACGATATCCGTGAGAACCAGAGTGTTCGAGATTATGTAAATATATATGGAGCAAGGACCTCGCTGGTGTTATTATAAGACTTGGAACACGGCGTCGGACTACGTGCTTTTGCCCTCCGACGTTCCAAGCATTCGAAAGAAAATTCAGTTTTTTTCCTTTTCTTTTGGGCCACTTGTCTAGACTTCAATTAGAAGAAAAAGATGCGCAAATGTGAATCGTCTTATGAACGGCAAATAGATCCCCAACGGCCTTTACAATCTATTTGAAAAGAGCACACTTTTTACGCCGGACTAAAGAATCGTGCGAAAAAGTATTTATGAAATTATATGATGAGTATCAAAAGTAAATTGCATTTCTAAAAGACTTGATTGTATTGAAAATTATATTAGTTAATCTATTGAGCTATTTGTAATAGTTTTGCTTTAAAATATTGTTTTAGTTACTCAAATGAATGAATTATTAATCGACATGTATTAATATTAGAAAAACTTTTATAAAGACACCTTAATCATAGATAATGTATAATCAATCGAATTTATTATTGTTGATTTTATTCTTTTGTTTCCGTACAATTTGTTAAGATTGGTTTATGTTCATGCCGTATTTGGTAAAATCAGTTTGCAATGCTTCTTGTAAATTAGCAGTGATGTTAACATTTTTGTAAATGTCCGAGAAACGTAAGCGCCAACGAATGTCCAACAACGAAATTTCCGAGTACTCATTTCCAATCGCTCCAAGAATTGAAATACTATAATTATTTTCAAATTGACTATATGTTCATCTTAGAATATTAATAATTTTAATGATTAATATTTTATAATGAAAATGAATTCACTTTGTCAATGTAGTAGCATTGTATAAAAATAAGTTATGAATTCTAATTAGTGTACAGATAAATAAATTGTAAGTGGATGTAAGTCCGAAAAATGTTTTATATTTATTTGATCACCTGTAATAATTATTGATTGATTCATGTTTATATCAGTTGTTTAAATAGAGACATTTGTCAGCATTTGACTGCCTAAGATACTATTTAAGAAAGTAACAAAGACTTGTAAAAATAGCTACTTCCACTTTTACATAATTTTAATGATGTATCAGTTGATCCATAAATGAAAGAATAAAAAATTAATATCATTGTCGTGTAATCGTACCGGATAATAAGAAATTCAGCGGGAAATCGGTGAAAATCGACCCAGAAAAGTTATAGAAAAATTGCGTTTGATAAACAAGGACAGCAAAACTCACTAACTTAATTCAATTAGTTAAATCAATCACTCCGCGCAATGTCATTAATGAAGAAATTTCAAAAGTTGAATACTTCCAGATCAATTGAAACAACATCTGTATTTGATTCATTTTTTGTAGAAATGAATGCATAAATCGTTCGATTGTTTCTTATCGTATGTGCGATATATGAGGTATAAATTTTTTCGTAGTGTATTTTTGAATTATTCATTGAATATGAGAAAACAGTGATAAAATTCGGGATATATCTACTAACACGCACTAAACCTTGCTGGCCGAGAGCCAACTCCATAAACTAACGTAAAATCTGTTGACTGTGGCATCTCTGACGTTGTCTAGCCAAATAAACGATTTGTTCACGCAACGGTTCGTCGTCACCGACTAAACTGTTCTAAACGCAATCGCTTTCGATCTAATCTTCAGGAACCTCAGGATCTCGTCCTCGATCAGCGCGTTCGCGGTGAGAAAATTGGAAAACTGCATTGTGCGACTACGCCGTCTTTTCCGCGTTTGTGTTTCTACTTCCTATACCAACCAACTCTGTACCCAGAGCGCACGTGCTTGAAATGTGTCTGAAATATGTGACAAGCTTTCACTCCATATGGACAGCGACCACACTGTGGAGAAGCTTATATTTGTAAAGATACGCACCTCCCGATTTCTAAAAAAAATGACTGTTAAAGATTACTTGCTTATTCAACATGCAGTTGCAATCATGCATTAATTGAAAGAGGAGAAGATGAAAATGATTAAAAATGAATTTTTAATCATTTCCCTACAACCATCCTAAAAAGTAAGCGTAGTTCTTAAGGCCAAGGGGTCATTTGTGATATCGTTGACGGTGTACGGTTGTCAAAAGCGATCGGTCAAGATCGAGGCAGCATACCGGGCGCAAGTGTCAGTAACGTGCACACTGTAGGAGTCACTCCCTGTGCAGGTAAATTGTCGCGGTATGCTTCCTCGATATAAACTCGGCCTTCCTTTACAGCACTTGGGTCATAAATCGTATTTTCTTGAGCGTTGGGGTTGATCGTCACGAGCGGAGACTAACTTCAGTGAGCAGGCGAATTTTCTCTCACCTGAGGAACTAATGGTCATAGCAGACGCTTGGAGAACGGTGCACACGTTTCCGAAGTGCCTAACACCCGCATCTTTTCACGGGCGTTATAAATAAACTCTTCTAAGATATACATTACGATTCAGCTGCTTGTTTCTATTGTTGTTTAAGCGGTCGTCCTGTCGAATTGTAAAGAATTGAGAAAGTCTAATGGCTATTTGAGTCAAAACTTAGACTTATTTTAAGTAGTGAATTATTAACCTACAGCTGTTTCTTAGCGACGACAATGCTCATGGTGATACTGGTACATTTCTAAATTGTACCTGTTTAGTTTCCCTAAAGACACTTTAATAGTAAGCAATAGGGAAAACCTAGGCAAGATGGATACCTTAAGGAAAAATTGAAAAAAGGAATCAAATAAAAACAAATTATATTGTTATTTTTTTAATATGAAGTAGGTATGATATCCCATACATCTATATGCAATAATAGTCCTGAAAAATTATTTAAACTATTAAAGTTAATTGATTTAATAATAAATTAATTGATTGAAAAAAATATAATGAAATTTTGAATGCTTGAAGAAACGCCGAGCAAGACGGATAGCCTCCAAGAAAATACATTAACCCGTTTCGGTTAAAAACGCCACTCTTAATACATCGGTCTTTGGAATGTTATGTCTAATTCTGTAGACGTCAAAAAAAATTGAGAGAGGCATATTCTGAAAGCTAGGAACAAGCCTTTTCTATTGATGAACTCGAAATCATACAAAATTATTAATGTTTATGGAAAAAGGCACTCAAATAATAAAAAAACATCAATTTTCCGGTCTCTTTTTTTTTAAATCTAATTTTCAAAGTTAAACTTTCTCAACCGATGGAACGAATGTCTGAATTTTAAGAATCCATCGTTTCAAGATCATTTTTTAAAATAGTATTTTTAAAATGGCGTCCAAACCGTAAATTTTTTTCAAATAATCATGGCTTACTTTGAATGATCCTCTAGGACATTTTTTTTCAAACACATGCTTTTATATTATCTTGTCTTTATGAACAGTTCTCGTCGATCGTGAGCCACATTTATCCAAGTGAGTGACTAAATCCGGACTGATGAAATAATTGTCAAAATAATTATGATACTCAGATAATTTTCTTTTTGAAATGCCAAGTAAAAGTGAATTGATCATGTGTAAAACTATTCTAGAGTCAAGTGGTCACTTAGATAAATTTATTCCAATACTTGTGTAATTCTTACCACACCAAATGCCTACATTGAATATATATCCATTTGCCCCACACAAGGACCAGAGCTTTATCTTATATCTATCAGGTTTGTAAGGTAAATATTGTTTTAGGCGCGTGCGTCTGAAAAATCGAACCATCATTTCGTTCACGGAAATAGCAGTTGAAAAAAACCAAATTGTTGCATATTTTTTTGAACAAATTAAAAATTTCTCGGACTTTCCAAGCCTTATCAGCATCATTATTATCACTAAGTTATGAATATTTTATTTTTGATTTGACATCGCTAAACCTATCTCGAGACAGTGCTGAAGAAACAGTTGAGGACTTTACGACAGAGTTAGTTTCCGAGTAGTCTCTCTAGTATATCATTCTGTATATTGTATGATGATAGCAATAATATCCTTAAAATGTATCAAGTTTATCTAATGGATGTGTTAAATATTAGTAATGAAGAAATTACAAAATTCTACGCAAAATATAATTCAGGACTTTAAAACCACCTAAATAAACTTGTCAATGAACTTCTTATGACATCCATCACCAACAGCAAACTGAAGAAACATAAACTAATGAATGCACAAATAAATTAACATAATTATTTCAATCAATCATACTGTAAAACAAAGACACTCACTGAAGTATATTGCTGATTATTATTATCATTGCACAAATCACATTAAAGATTTTTTCATATAATAAGAGAAAAAACGTATTCTGATTGCTACGCCCTCAAATCAGAGACAAACAAGTAACAGTTGGTATTCCGAGAGTATTTATACTAAAAGGCTAAACTGTGAAAAATGAGTGGAAAAGGGGAATTGTTTTCAAAAATGCTAACAAGCATAACTATTGGATATTTCGTCTTTCAATGATTGTTGTTTCTTGATGTTGGCGTGTTTTTACAGTTTTGATGAGGATGATTATTTATATCATGGAAACGTTGGCAATAATTGAATAATAAATGCATGAAAGGATCCTTAGAAGTTGAATTTGTCAATAATCCTTAAATTTAATCTATTATTAGCATCAAGCATCTCGAAAGGGAAAAAAATCAATGAATCTAGTATAAAAGTTCAGTTGTTCGCTCTTTAAGAGAGAAAAGACGAAGCGTTTACCGCAATTTGTATCGTAATTTGTAAGAAAACGCAGCAACATTTGAAAGAGGTTTTCGCAGAACCGCCCTCGCTTCCATTTTCGAGAGCACACTTGTGTCGCTCTCGCAAAACGCGCGTAACGATGCAGCGGGACAAGCCTGACTTAAAGGTACCAACCAAACGTCCGAGTATCAACCAGTTGAGCAGCTTTTCTGTAGATTCAGAGTAAAAACAACAAACAACGCACTCGAAAAGTCAACAATTTCCCTATTGTTTCAGAAAACGTTGCCTTTATTTATTCATGTTTGCCATTAGTAAAGTTTGTGGAAGATTTGTGCTTTTTCGCGTTGCCGAAACGTACCGTCTGGTATGCAAATAAAGCCTTTTATCTTGCCTGGTCAATCAACAATAGGCTCTGTATACACCTAGCCTGACGTTTACGGATGTTGAAAATATGTTACAAGAGAGATAGAGAAAGTAATGAACATTGCATGTTCTGTTCGTGAAAGGTCGGGGGATGTCCGACAATATTACAATATTCCGACGGATTCTGGGTTTTCCCCAGCATAGGCCTGGTCTGTTGCTATCTCTCTCTCTCTCTCTCTCTCTCTCTCTCTCTCTCTCTCTCTCTCTCTCTCTCTCTCTCTATCTAAGCTACGGTACCTCACATACTTCGGCTTAACTGTTAATGAGTTTGCAATGTTGTACTACCGAGATGCTTCGTTTCGATTTTTTTCCTGAATTAATATTAAACTTACTATCAAGCTTGCTTTTCGTGTTTATCTGTGTGTTACTCGGATTAACTATGAGTTTCCATTGATTAACATGTTCCATTTTTTATTTATTGCAATGTTGTTACTTTATAAACATTTTTTATAAGATTTACATGTAACATGAGAATATTTTCATGCGATTTAATGAATACTCAAATCAGATCACATTTTATTGATAAATTATAAACTTTATTCATAATGACTAAGTAAGGTGCCACAACTCTAATAATGATTTAATTTCTATTTTAAGGTTACACTGAAATTATATTTTGGCCAAAAATTGTTTTATGAGTTATGTTCATTGATTTTTTCGTAATTATATAAAGTACGTAAGTGTATAAAATTATTAACCACAGACAATCTTAAAACTTTATTTTCTTCTATGGGTGAATTTAAAAAAAATTTTGCTTTACATATCAATGTTTCAATTATTAATATCTAGTGGTGGATAAAATCTAGTTATTCATTTAAGTAATCACTGAAGTCATAGTGAAGCGTTTTAATAACTGGAGCTTCAAACATGCTTATTTTAATAAATATATTTGTAAATTGTTGCATATATCTTGACAGTCAATCTATTAAATATTGAAATATACTTTCACGAAGTAAACAATGTTTTTATTTATATATCTTATTTTTAAACAACAATGTAAATATATTTTTTAATATTAAAAAATAGTGAAATATTTATGAAACTATAAAAAGTTTTTAGCAAAGTATTATCCTAAAAGAATTGTATTTTTTTCAAAACATTAACGTTCGAAATATTTTTAAATATTTTATATTAAACTTTCTAGCTTTATTACACACAAGCAGTTTATAAAGCAAGCAACTTTTATAAAGAAAATCTCAATGTTAAATTTTTTCTGTAGAAAAAAAAACGAGAACTGATTTATCGACGGTCATTTCAATATGAAGATAAAATGAATACATTATTTTACAGTTACTTTGGGAATCAATAATTCAGACAAATAATACCTAAATATGTAGATGCAAAATATTTCTTGGCAAATTTTAAATATTTTTTATTACTTGATAAAATCTCGGTAACCATAACGTTTTTTACAGCTTACGACAGCATATTTGTTTTCATGTATGTTCTTACGTCTGAAGAGACCACATTTTTCAAGAAATATTTTGTTGAGTTTGCATTAATTATTTTTTTTTACTAGACAAATACAAACTGTTATCGTCTCAAAAGCTAGTTACAGCACTTTATATTTATCAATACATTGTAATGGTATCCTTGCAGAACTACTCTTTGTATCATAATAAAAGCTAATAATCCGTGATTCACGAAGGATTGATGTAGTGTTAGAATTCACGGGCACATGATCTTAATGTAACACGTATGTGTTCATATGAAATTCGGACGGAGAAGCGTTAAATCGTACAAGAAGTAGTAAAACCCTCAGTGAAGCCATTAAGCAATTGGGGAATCCCCAAGGTTTCCCAAGCTGTGTTTCTTTCCTGAGGCGCATATGGCGTTTCTGATGGGACCAACAGTAGAGCGATCGTCCCAAAACCTCCCCACGGTCAGTGGTCAAGCGATGGTTGGCGGCCTTTGGAGGGAGGGCGTACCTCAGTAAGAGAAGCTATTAAAGGTAGCGCAGCTCTGACCGATGAGTTAGTTAGTTTTGACAGCTCGCGCGACTAGAGTTCTACTTTCGAGTGTTAACGTGTCTTAACGTCTATCATAACGTTTCTTCAGTGCTACTGAGTGCAGTTTTTTTACTTATTTCAGCGTTACATTATCAGGTTGTTATGTCTCAAAAAATTGTCTATCAGCCCAAAATGAAGACGTTCGACTCCGCTGACTTGGACTCTCAACTTTCCGAGAGTTTCATTCATCAGCTCAAGTTGGAAGGTGTCGAGGGAAACGACTTAAGTAGATGCACACAACCCGCTTTTACGAAGAACATGTTTTTAGTAGACGATTTCTTACCAGACGACTTCTATCATTGCGATATTCACGGTGACACGTAAGTTGCAATTTATTTTTATGTACTTGGTGTTGGATCGACTCTTTTACATCGTTATAGCTTCATTGCTGAAATTTGTCTATATCCGCAGTTTCTGCGATGATAATTGATAAACTTCAATGAAACTAAGTTATAAATATAAATTTAAAGGATGTACGATTTTAATTTATTTGAAATTTACAGCCAACTGCACATCTCGATAATCGTGCAGGCGTTCGATGTAACCGAGTATCTTATTGATACGGCACCGAATCCTTCATATCTGGACATTGTCAACAAGGAACAGTTCACGGCACTGCATTATGCAGTTTTGGCGGAAAACTATAGTATTGTTCGGAAATTAGTGCTGGCGGGTGCAAACACTGAAGCGCGGACATACGACGGTGATACGGCTCTTCATCTTGCTGTGAAGGAGCAACGTACGGAAAGTGTCAGGGCTTTGACAGATCCATTTAGCTTAGTGGAGAAGTCGTTGGCACCACATCCGGCTCTGATAAACTCTAGAAATTATTATGGTGAGTTTCTTTGCCGAATTCGCAAGTTTTAGTTTGGATTATCGGATACACCGGTGGCATAATCTAATAAGCAAATTTTATCAATATTCACCATCGACGTATCTTACAAAACCCCAGTTGTCTCGTATTATTTTAATAATAATAATAACGACACGGGTTGTGCTTGTTTTCTTTTTGTTTCCCTATGACGATGTCGATTAATCGATCGTACAAACGTGTTCTGAAATCGACTAAGGTCTTGGCTTTTTGTTAAATTTCAGGTATGACTGCTTTACACATCGCTGCTTATATGGGTGACTTGGAAATCGTATGCCTATTGGTGCGCAACGGTGCTGATGTGAATGCCAGGGAAGGTCTTTGTGGTAGAACAGCTCTTCATTTGGCCATAGAGAGGAATAACGACCCTGTTGTGCATTACCTAGTACAGTTTCCAGAGACATTGAATACCAAGATATACAGCGGTGAGGCTGCCCATGAAATTGCCATTAACTGCTGGCCGGAGTACGTTGAAACAAACAAGGTATCTGAAACTCCGCCAGGTAGTCTCACCCTGGAGGATGACGAAATGAGCGCGCGCAACATTCTCACAGACATTATTCATTATAAGAAAGCCAGTTTCTATTCCAACAAAATGGAAAAGTCATTTGACCTGCTATGTTAGAATTATATATGTAATATAACCATACCTCTTGTTTTTGCTAGTCATGAGTGAACAAGGAACGTAAAAGTGAAGTGCTGAATAATATTATAATGTTTTAACCAGAAATTAACGTAATTTCCTGCAAATGTCATTTACATTCTTATCCTTGCCAAATATTGCTGTTGTTCGCAATATTTAGCGGTGAATTAAAAATAAATATTTTCCATTGTTGTTATTATAAATATGTGTAACAAATTTATTGTAAAATATACCCGTATAAATATCATTTTATATTCTTTCAAGTAAATTTGACTTTTAAATCATTTGCGTAGTCCCTACTTATAGGAATGAATGAGTAAAATTATCCTGTTCAACCTACTACACATATAGCATTTGCAAATTCTTTTGATAATTCATTTTCGATACTCCGTGCGCAAAGTGCGTCTATCCCGCACGCTCGGCAGAAAACGTGCGTTAAAAATTGCACTTTCCACACGTCGTATCAAAAAAAACGGTACGGCACACGAGACCAGAATCTACTTTCCCACACTTGTGTCGTAATGTACTATTACTTTTGTCTCGTGTTCCTTCCAAACTCTTTCCCGAACATGTGTCGTACCGTATTTTTTGATACGACGTGTGGAAAGTACGATTTTCAACGCTCGTTTTTCGCCAAACGCGGGAGAAAGACTTACTTTGCACACGAAGTGTCGAAAAAAATTATCGTGACAGAGATGGCAGAATGGTAATAGAGGTGTTTGTTTACCTTATGTTTAAATTAACGTACCTGACGATTGCACTAACTATGATGATTATCGATGGCGTCAAGACTTGATCAAAGTAGTTGAGAATGGCCCATAAACATGAAAACATTGTAAGATATTTCAACGATAGTTCGAGTAGATTTCGATTAGTCGACTAATGTAAAGTCATATTGCCAGTTTAATGCATAATTTCATTTGTAATTTGAAAAGAGCCAATACTTTATTATTTAATTTAGCCAATTATTTAGTAAATTTATATTGGGTTATTTTAATTCTAAAGCTATGTTTATATTTCGTCTAATAGGTATTTTCAATCTGTATAAATTAAATACAAGTCGTAATTATGAAAATATTTTCGTTATAAAAAACTTGTAATGAAGTACCATTGTCGACGTCTAATTCAATAATTTTCTGTTAGTTGAAATAGCTACATTTTTCACTTTTTATAAACCTAATGTGCAATTGAATTAAAATCTGATTGAAGAGAGTATTACAATTTATTATTTTACAATGAGATCGTAAAAAAAGTGAAAATTTAGGAACATTAAAACTGTATTAATTATTCAACACAAATGATTGTTAACAGGAATCATAGGTAGCCATGACGAAACAATTACTCACATAAATTTGATAACTATGAAATAAAGCGTAATCACTAAAAAAAAAATCAGCAATATCAAAGCCGTCAGTCCTCACTTGAAAATTTTAAGCAGGCCTACGAACATCTCTTGCTACGACTCTTCTTCAACGATGTCGACATCTTCATTATGACATTCCTCGGCGCACTCGTACTGTTGATATTCGGCGATCAAATCGAGTAAATCGGCATGCGCGTCGGTAAACTCGTTCTCCTCCATGCCTTCGCCGGTGAACCAATGTAGAAAGGCTTTTCGCTTGAACATCAGACTGAATTGCGTGGAAACGCGCTTGAAAACCTCGTGTATGACGGTGCTATTGCCGAGGAACGTGCCCGAAATATCGAGACCCGTCGGTGGTATGTCACACAAAGCGGTTTTCACGTTGTTGGGAATCCAATCAACGAAGTACGGACTGTTTTTGTTCTGGACGTTCAACATTTCGTCGTCGATTTCCCGCATTGAAATTTTACCACGGAAAATCGCTGCTATGGTCAAGTACCTATTGAAAACATTGATTTTTACGATCAGTCTCCTTACACGTTTGCGGATAAATTGCTATCGAAACATTGCTTACCTTCCGTTGCGTGGATCACAAGCAGCCATGACGTTTCGGGAATCGAACATTTGCTGAGTTAACTCTGGTACGCTTAAGTTGTTGTAGACTTTGCAGACCCTTGAAATCAATGGAGCGAAACCCGTGAGTAAGAAGTGCAAGCGCGGGAACGGTACCATGTTTACGGCCAGTTTCCGCAAATCGGCGTTTAGTTGACCTGTCGAGTATCAAGCGACTCTTTCAAAAGGCAGACACAGTACTGAGAATGAGATTGATATTTTTATTCTTCTGCTTATGTAAAATCAATTAAAATAAATGAAAATGAATCAGCATCAGTTTGCTAAAATAACTTATGACAAAACCATTGAAAATTGTGAAAAAATTATCTTATGATTTAATTGACCTGGACTTGAAATAAACAAGATAAAATGCAACATTGCAATTATCAACCTGGAAATCGTAAACAAGTGGTTACTCCAGACATCGTGAGCGACACCAATTGATTGAGGTCGCCGTAGGTCGGACTCGGCAGTTCCAAGGTCCTCAAACAAATCTCGTATAGCGCTTGATTGTCAATGCAAAACGTCGAGTCGGTCAAATTGACAAGCTGCTGAATCGAAAGCAGCACATTGTACGGTCCGACAACTGTATCCTGTACTTTTGGCGATGGTACGATCGAGTAGGCGTTGACGATTCTATCCGGGTACTCGTCTCGAATTTTCGACAGTAGTAGAGTACCCATGCCGGACCCAGTGCCGCCACCGAGCGAGTGGGTCAGTTGGAAACCTTGAATGCAGTCGCAGTTCTCGGCCTCGCGACGTACCACGTCGAGTACCTGGTCAGCGATCTCGGCACCCTCGGTGTAATGGCCTTTGGCCCAATTATTACTTGCTCCATTCTGTCCAAACACAAAGTTATCCGGGCGGAATATGTCGCCGAAAGTGCTCGAGCGAATAGCGTCTATCGTGCCGGGCTCCAAGTCGACGATGACCGTGCGAGGGATGTAACGCTTGAAGGATGTCTCGTTAAAGAACACGCTTATCTTGTCCAGCTGCAGATCGTTGCTACCCTGGTAGGTGCCGTCCGGCTGGATACCGTGTTCTCCGGATATCACTTCCCAAAACTAAACGACATGTTTCTCTCTTTTTATCCAAATTGATTCTCAGCACTTGCAACGAATGCATTTAAGCCTATGCAATTATTGCAAATATAGTTCGGGCGTATCGCATTATTTTCGTTCGGGCATTTTTATTTGCTGAGTGTCGCGACCGTGTAATTTTTGGGTTGGGTTGGGATATATCAAAAGTGCTTACTCGAGAGCCGATCTGGTTACCGCATTGGCCTGCTTGGATATTCAAAATTTCGCGCATTGCGGCTTTATTTTATCGATTTTTCGATGCACAAAAGGTACTAGAGAATTTTGAACGGAGGTCAAACGTTTAACTGAAATTTAAAAGGTTACATGCCAAGAAACGTAGCAGAAAAACTGAAATTAATCGATAAAACAATTGACAGTTTCACGCCAACATGTTAAATTTACTTCGAAATTCAAAAGTATGATTACAGTTAGATTCGACTCTGCTCAAATAAACGTTTGCATGTCCGAGTAATTTATTCAAATGTCAACGTAATTCTCATCAATATTATTAGTTATCGTTGAATAAGCGCTAGTTAAAAATCTAGATTTTACAGAAATGTGCAAACTAGTCAATGGATTTCTTCCTTGCTTACATATATCGAAAGTTTCTTATTTACTATCTTAACCGATGCTGGTAATCGAGAGACCGAAGCTAAACTTGTATTGTTCCTAAAGACTGACGCTAGATGTCGTTCAATTTTACTGAAACATTCAAGAAGATATTTTGGCAATGTATTCTTTTATGAGCCGATGAAACTACTGTCCATCTACCTTAAAAAGATATCGTAGCTTCAGTTACTAATTACCCCTTGACGGATAATTATTGCTTTTATTGTTGGCGTGTATGTTGCATATTTATAAAATAACAGAACTCATGTATGAAATCGGTCTTGACAATTGAAGTTGTACCTTCTACAAATAACAAATTTTGGGCAATGCAAAGCGTTGCAACTGAAATAAGGATGCGGAAAGTAAATAGCAAGGGATTTCTCACAAGGTTTGATCGATTGTTCTGCGATATTACCGATATCGATCATTGGTCTACGAAACATACAACGCAATTGTCCCTGAACCTCGGATAAGATCGTAATTAAAGTATATCTCACGGTAGACGAGGCATCGAGTCCAAATGGAAAAGAAGAAAGGCTAAGGAATACGTTGAACGCATCCTCTTCCCCACAAGTGCAGACGGGCAGTACGCACGCAAGCGCCTTGTCAGATTTGCAACGATCGGATAGTGCGCGCACGTGGGAGCGTGAGTTTTCAGCCTCTCTGCCATCGAAGTAAATACAAGTGCTAGTGGGGTGGTCACGCGCGGTGCGAATATGATTATCGTGTAATGCGCGCAAAGAGAACATGCGAAGGCCAGAAGGCGGCTCTGACATTGAGTATACGTTCTCGGCTCAGTTCCCATGAACTGCGGGAGCCTCCCACCTTACCGTCTTTCCCTATTCAAAGCGACTTAATACGCGAATAATTAAGCCGCGTGCGCGAGCGTGTGGGAGGAAGACGCTCGTCGTCGACCCGGCAAACGAAGAAAACACGGCTTCTTTGTTCCGTGATATCCGGCTGCTGAGATTCAACTACCACCATCGCTGCTCGTCTTCGCAGCTTACATAAAGAAATGCTAATTACCGCAGCGCACTTTGACTTTTATGCTTTCTTTTCCTTGAAGAATGGCTCGCTCTTTCGTACCGAAAATTTTAGATATCGACGTTTTTTAGTTTTGAGTAAAGTTGATGAAAGTTGATAGGAACAGTTTGCAATAATAAGCCGAAAATTAACTGGGAATTCGTGATTTATTTCATATTGCAACAAAAAATTTATACACGTATATAATAAGCAGTAATAATATTTTCTTGATCAAGTAAAAGTTAAAAATCAAGTAAAAAGTAGTGCTAATGTAAATCAAGTATTTGATAATTGCTTTGTTTGTTTTTCTTCTTCTTACACTGTCGTATGTACAAAATTAGACAAATCGCTTTGAAAAGTGTAATCACAAGATTGGCAGTTGTTCAAATATTGAACAAAAGGACAACAATTTGTTGAATTCGATGATTACACGAACACACACAAATGCATTGCTTACAATAAAGTAAAAATAAATAGGTCGCATTTAATTTCATTCCCAATCATTTAGTCGTAATATTTTCCATCTCGGAGCGTTCATCTATTATAGTTTAGACAATCGATAAGTATTTTTTTGTAAAAAATATCATAATCATTTGCACAATAATCGCAAGAAGTTTGTGTATTCGTAAACGTTTACAATATTGTACGGCTTATTTTTCCCGTATTACACATAAATTTTCCTTTTTTTGTTGTCGGAAAATACGAGGTGACGACGCTATTATGCATTAATATTTAAAATGAAGAATTGCATTCAGACTATTTTCTGAAACCTCCACACACACACACACACACACGCACACAAACACAGAGACGCGCGCGCGCGCACAGTCGTACCTCGTAAATATTAGATCTTTACTCTTGACTTATATTCTGATAAAGTTGTAGGTAAATATTTCGCAAGAGCCGTATTAGCATGTTGTATTTTAAACATTACGTTCGTTTGTTTGTCATAACTATTTACAAATCTGCAATTTTACATTTAACGTAATCAAAGACGAGTGTCGTGTATGTATTTATCCGTGTGAATAATATACTGAAAATGACATGGGTGCGTGAGTGAACTTTTGGGCTTGAGATGACGGCCCTCGGTTATTCATTATTATAATAGAACGCGATAAACCTGCAATGCTCGCGACGATGCTCGGCCAGCGCACATTTGAAATGAGCTTCGGACTTCTCTCTTCTTATACTTTTGTTTCTATCATGAAAAAATATGACGTCCACTATCCCACAATACTTTGATATATATAATATATCTACGTCTTTTCTAATATACGCGCTCTACGTATACGATTTCAACTTTTTCTGGCAGCATTTTATCTTTCTATACGTGAATCGCTCGCTCTCTCATTCATACGAACTCTCGCAGAACTGTAATTGGTCACGACGCGTCCTTCGTCACTTCCAACTTCCATTCAAGGATCACAAGTTCGCTTCCTGCCAACGAGATATCTAGAGGCTAAAGCTGTCACTTAAAAGTACAGTTACGAAGACAATAAACTTACATCCACTTCCAAAGCTTATTGAAATTACACCGAGTGACTCACGACATTTACTATCTTAAGTATAATGGCAAAAATTTCTCGCAAACTGCTTGGTTTTTCTCGGAAACTAGATAATGCAAAAAGTTGCGTGATATTGTTATAATTAGTTATTTTATTTATAGCTGATCGAGCATTGACGAACGAGATTTTCCTACGTGTAATATTTTTATTGTTATTTCAAGAGAATCTTGCGAGACGCTGCTTTTTTTTAATTTTCTCTCGATCCATCTCTAATATCCATCTCTACTGCGCCGTCGGCTCGTCTTTTTTCATATTTTTTTTTCAATGTCGTGCGTAAAGCCGTGAGTATGGCGAGGATTAATGAACAACAGTTTAGTTTTTTTTAATGCGAGAGCATGTCTATATGTGTATATAACGCTACGGCCAATAAATGAGATCATGCTGAATCGTCCAAAAAATAGTTTTAACAATTTAAACGTTGACAACATCATTGACGACACCACGCGAGCTTCTCTTATTCAATTTGGAAAACGTCGGCAAAAAATTGCTCGTTAAACAACGAATCACCCAATCATTCTGAATAAAAGTACTCAACCTAAAAAAAAGTTATAAGTACGATACTAAGCTCTTCAAGTTTTGTTAAGGTCAAATAAATAAAAATGTCAATATCATTTATTTCATAATAACCCTAGACTTTATTAATCAATGATGTTTTTTTTATTATATAACAACGCTTAATTGACTGACGTCTTACACTTATAAAATACCTAGATAACAATCTTGCAAATAATTGTCGTCTCGATATACACATAACAACAAGATGGCCGATGAAGTTCTCCATCGAACGAAGAGTCGCAGCGCGGTGTGTTGTCGTCGAGCGAACAATTACGTCAATAGTTCCACACACTCATACGCATGGCGCCCGTCTTACAATGATACAATATTAAGAGGTATAATGAGAAAAAATAATATTGTTAATAATAATAAAAAAGAAAGAAGGCAGCGTACGCAAGAAAGAATTAATAAAATAAAGTAAAAATGGAAATAGGGCGAGAGAGCGCGCTGTATTTGAACTCCCGGGCTGAAATCGTGCGTCTTTCGCAATGTGCGCATCCTTGCTCAATCGACGAAGGAAACAAGGTAATAATACATAAAAATAACGTACAAAAATTAAAGAGAGCTTACTTCTAATATTTACAGGCGACTAAAAGTAATATGCATTTCTCTTGCGATAAGTAGTTTTGTTTTTTCAACGCAGACGATGGGTTTACGCGAACGCGCGCTCATCTACTGCCGATTTCAGCACGCGAGCTTCGTTTTCTTCTTCTTTTCTTTGCTTCTTTATTCGCGCCCATATCCTTTCACACTTTAGCACAATAATATTTATATAATATTTATATATAGATTCTTTTCTCTATGCGCGCTATAAGTGCTATCTTATATCTCAGGATATCAATCACGTCACATCGATAAATATATTTGTGTATTTATAAATTTCGGATCACAATCATTCTCGTCGTCGTATAAAAGTACAAAATATACCAAAACGCCGACCGGGGATGCGCCGCGAGTTTGCCTTCAAACGACCACAAGAGAAATATTAAAAAAAAAAAAGAGTATGCGACGCACAACAAACGGATTGACAGTATATCGAGTCTATGCGTCCACGAGATATGCCCATTGGATGATGCAGAGGGGTGGAATGAAGTCAAACTTTAATCTCACAAAGTTTCCCCTCCCCCTCCCCCAAAAGACGTATTTGCGTCGGAAAACCACGTGAGTCATACGGTTTAGGAACGTTGTGTGCTTTGTGTGGAGAACTCAGCCGAGTCGATCGTAATGTGGAACGAAATTTCGTGAAAGGCGAAAAAAGAAACAACGAAAATGTAGGCCTACTGTTCATCGAAAAATAAAATAAATACAAAACTAAACAATCGTCAATTGCTAAAAGAATAAAACAAAAAAAAAACAAACAACGTCGTCTAACTTTTTCTAAGCGAGCCATCTCGCACGACATTCGTTAAAAGTTCGCCCCACAGAAACGTTGAGATAATGTGTCAACTCGTCCGAGTCCTCAAAGTATAAAGAAAAAAAGAAAGTAGTGGTTTACACGCGCTTAAAGAACAAAGAACAAAATGAAAAAAAATAGAGATACACCGCGGTGAAGCGATTCGAAGTCAGGGTATGTACAGAAGCATCGTCGTCTCGGCTCATGGCGGATATTGACGCGCGCGGGTGGTGGCATTTGAAAGGGCCGAGAATCAAGCGACGCATCTTTGCCCGGACGGCGCTTCGATAAGTCTCCTTCTTTTCCTCGACATTCTTTCTTCGAGCGAACGATACTTTTATGCGATAACATAAGAAAAAAAAGTAATAGAAAGAGGAAAGACGCGTTTCTAAATTACGCTTTAATTAAGTATCGATCCTACCGTAACTGGCAGTTTTTCTTTTACACTTAGAAAAAGTCGATCGCGTACAGATGCCCACATGCAGACAGACACACACACACACACACACACATATATATAACACGAATACACACGCACGCACGCACATACTTACATAAAAATCTACGTTGCTCATTATCGTCGAGCTCGTGTCTCTCGTGTTCATCCTTTTTTTTCTCATTTTTTGTTTGTTTTTAAAAAAGACTTCGAATCTCAGTGGCTCGAAATCTATGGCCTTCTTTCTGTATTTTTATATCATTATTAACGCGATAAAATAATAAATTTGTTCCACTTGTTCTTTTTGGATTTTTGTGTGTGTGTGAGTGAGTCAACCTTAAAAGCTATACGTAATTACAATATGATACAATGGTTACAGCTTCGCTGCTACGTAGAAAAAAGAGCTAAGTTATCCGTGGTATCGAGGAGAACGACGAATTATCAAGATACATTTACAATGATCCATCGTACTCGTAAGCAGGGAGCGAGAGGCTTGAAGCTCTTCACAATAATACATAAATAATTTTTATAGCGCGCAATCCCTATAAAAATATAGAATGTCGTCGGATATTTCCATGAAGAGTTGCAGGTCTCCGATTGGCGGCACTTTGTTTTTTTTTCATTCCCGATAACTATCCAATATGTGTGTGTGTGTGTGTGTGTGTGTGTGTGTGTGTGTGTGTGTGTGTGTGTGTGTGTGTGTGTGTGTGTGTGTGCGTGCGTGTGCACGTGTACGTGTCTGTGTAGTGTGCGTGAGATCAAACTTGCGCTCGTCGCTGTTCGCGCGATGATCACACCCAATATTGCTTGAGCATGGAGCTCGTTCACTTGGAGAGTCGACCTCACAACTGCTCGGACAGTATGATCACGTGCACAGCCTGGATGTTGTCGGCGACGACCTTGTTGCCGGTCTCGCCGCTTTTATACGCAGGCTCCTCGACGCTCGTGTGCTCGCAGCCCTCGGCTTCGGCGCGCTCGCCCTCCGGCGCGCTGGTGGTCGTAGCTGCCTCTATAACGTCGGGTATGTTGGACAGAGTGGTCGGCGGCGCTCGTCTAGGACTGAGGCGTCCGAGACAGTCGACGACGCTGTTCTTCTTGGGCGGCTGCTGCTGCGGTGGAGGTGGCGGCTGCTGCTGCTGCTGCTGCTGCTGCTGCTCCTCGATGGGCGGAGGCAAAACCGTGGCGGTCGACGGGTCGTCGGCAAACTTGACCCTCCTGACCGACGAGCCCTCGCTGCCGTCGGTCTGCTTGCCGAGCGCGGAGTCCTGCGACTCGGTGGCGAACGAGCGCCTGCGCAGCAGCGCCGCCAGCTCGTTCTCGGCGCCCAGCAGATGCTGCTGGCGCTCGACCATCGACCTGGCGGTGGCCGCCGCGGCAAGCAGCTCGTCCGAGGCGAGCCTCGGTGGATCGGGTACCTCTGGCACGGCCTCCAGCATTCTCCTGGTCAAAGCGCTCTCGGCCCCGGTGAGCAGCCTCGACGGCGTCTGCCTTCCGGTGGACTGTGGCTCCAGGTCGGCGATCTCGAGCAATCCCGACTTGTCGATGCGTCTCATCGAGGTAGAAACTGGCACTCCGTCGGGTTGGACGTCGATCTGGCTGGGGTTGTTGGTCACGCGGGGACCACGCGGCAGCGTGGCGTAGTAGAAGGCGCTACTGGTGTTGACGAGGGCTTGCTGCTGCGGGGCCGCGGGTTGGTTGGGCGAGCGCAGGTAAGGCGCCGGGCTGGTGCTGCTCGGTCGATAGGGGTCGCTCTCGATCACGATCTCCATGTGGGGGGCCTGCTGCTAGAGCCAGGTGGTGCGCGATTTTCCGGCTCGCGAGCCGCTGGGCTGATCTCAGACGATTATCTCGCGGATGATGCGACGACCCCGGCTGTTCGGGGTCGAGTAGCCAGACTCCAGTGACTCGTCGTACGACAGGCTCACCTGCTGCGGTGGCTTGCTGTCCTCGTCGTAGTTCTCTTGGTAGGGAAGACCTGATACGTCGTATGGCGAATCTGCGGACAAGGTTACAGAGTTACAGTTTGCGCCATTCGAACGCACAACTAGCTCGCACGGCTCATCGAGTGCTGATTCGCAATTATCACTCGCGACTCGTTTGCTGGATAATTCATAGTGCGAAGATTGTATCCTCGGCGGTATCGAGTGTCGCGGCAGCAATCGCGCGTATACGTAACGGCGACAACGATCGCGTGGAACGAACGGAGCGGGAACGCGCTCGCCGATAATTGGCGAGTTCTTGAGTGTCAGCTGCGCGATTTCACGGCTGGCGCGCCTTGCGTAACGACGATCGCGATCGCGCGCAAGCGGACGAACTGCGCGCTCACAAAGCCGCTTGGCGTTTAATTCGCGAGCGCGCGCCATCCTTTGCGTTTCCATTCGCGAGTAACAAATCGGCCGCGTGCACCCACTTCCGCGGATAATGGCCGGCGAGTTTTCCGCCGTTCGTTCTCTATACAAACGCAATTGTGCCGTTGGCGCAATGTTATCCGTACGGCGAAGTGTCCTCGAGGGCGCTCCTGCAGATTGTTCGAGTAATGAAAAGAGAGAGAGAGAGAGTTGATTGCGTATACTAACCGACATGCTTCTGCGACTTGACGACCGTGCCGAAGGGCTCGCAGAATTGCTGGCGGCTGAGATTGTGGGTGTCCCTGTAATCTTGCTGTGGCATGTAGTGCTGGTGGGTCGGATAGTCGGGTTCAGTGGTGCCGTAGCCACCCATGTCGTAAGGTGTACCCACCACACCGACGTTGCCGGCATTCACTCCGACGCCACCGTTCGCTGCGGCTTGTTTCATCTGCCAGATCGAGTCTTGAGAGTTGACCGAGCCACCGTTGTTCGAATTCGAGTAGCTGTTTTCCATGTAGCCCATGTTCACGCCTGCATGTTTAACGTGTCATTTTTAATTGTCGTCACCGTGCAAATCGCAAATTAGCGGCAAGAGGTGCAAGAACGAGAAGGGTATCTGCCGATAATAAGATCCATTAGCAAGCAATTGCTGGCTAACGATCGCGGTGGCATTGAGAAGAAAATTGAGGTATCTGCAAACGGGGAAGCTCAATACAAGCTAGCCGATTCGATAAGAATAACAAGCTATTTAAGATGTATAGGACAAATAGCCGGAAAGCGAAAATTAGCGAGATTAATTGTCGTGCGCGACGAAAATTTCAATAGTCGAGTCTCTGGCGATAAAAGTAACAAAACGTCATTTAATACTCGTTGGCGCGCTTCAAGTAATCTCGCTTGGCAATAAAATTTGTCGCAGGAAAGTTTGCGCGTCGGCAAACGTAAAAGTTTTGCATGCAGGCCGTTAAGTATAGAGCAGAGAGATACAAGCAGCAGGAAAATATACACGGACAGGATGGACTCTAACTAGGAAAAGCTCAAAACACTGGGGCATGGGGCACAAACAAACAACAGTCGTACATCAAAGGCCGCGCATGGCGATGGAGTTGTGTAAGCAGCAGTGGAGTGGTACCATTACCAAATTAGTCGGGGGATCATTGAAAGCGTATATAAACGTCGCACACAAAGGTTTGTTAGTTAAAGATGAATGTAATTACCGTCATTCTCACCATTCATGTTGTGATTGGGCTGATGATAGCCGTAACCGCTCTGTCCGTAAGCTGGCGTCTTCGAGTCCTCAAGGGCTAAGGCGTGATCCAAACTATGCTCCAATGCCTTATTTTCAGCGTAATAGGGTGGCGGCGCCTGAGTCTGTCCTCCGTTTCCGGTCACCAAGCTCGGTCTCACTCTGTAAAAGCACACCCGCATTTATAACATATCGCGTGTAATGTGATTTATCGTCGTCTTAATTAAAGTCCGCGCAAATAAAGAGCCAAGAAAAAAGAAAGAGCGAGAGAGAGTGAAAGAGAAAGAGCGAGCGAGTATAAATGCAAAGCGTCTCTGATTAATGAAGTAGCGCCACAGTGGCGCAGCAATTATGCAGCGCTAGATTAAGTCCACTTTGAACTTTCCAAGTGTCGACTAATTTTTCTGTCGGGGCTGTATCTGGGATAGAACAGGAAACAAACGCTCCGCGGATAAATGAACAAGCAGCAGGGCTGGGGCGGAGGAGAAGGGAGGGCGGGAGTCGCTACTGTGTCGTTTGATTAGCCGTCTAGCAGCTTGTACGTGTGTATGTGTGCAGCGGCCGATTGTTACGTCATAACGAGGAGAAGCGACCAGCACGTTAATTGATGTGCAATTCGGTTGGCTCTGTGATTGCACAAACCTCGGAAATCACTTTTATTTCATTTATGAGGAAAAAGAGAAGGGGTTTTCAGCGGTTTTTCGGAAGAAATGTGACAGCGTCGTTAAGGGATAGCGTAACTTTGTACCAGACCCAAAGAAAAAAAGGAGGAAGAAAAGTCTTTGAGTTAATATTAGATTCCCTTTACTTGGCGTAACGAGAAAGATGAACCGAATGAGCGTCTCTCCACACACAAAAGCGTCGTATGCGCGCGTATATGTGCGCGCGCGCCTTTAGTCGATGTCTTTTGTTATCGCCACGAAATTACGCTTGAAGAGATGGAATGCGCCGATAGTCAACGAGAGAACGTCGGATAAAAAGAAGGGAAGGAAAAATTGCCGGCGATATTTGTCGGTCGATCGATAACTTTGTTTTTTTTACGTCACATGCTGGATTTCCATGTTAATAATGTAAAAATTGTTTGGGAAGCTTTCCGTTAGCGAGAGATCGATCGCGAAACGTTATATAGGTATGATTACGGTTGGCCGCCGCGGCATAACAACTTAATGCGCGGCTGTCGGGCAATGAAAAATTGAGTAACAGAAGCAGCGCTGGGGATCGCATCGAGAGCAGAGAGAGAGAGAGAGAGAGGCATTGCTGCTGCACAGCGCCGCTGGAGAAATCAATTTTTGCGTTCAGCAAAAATATATACGCAGCGAGGAGGCAGAGGGCACGCACGCACCCGCGCGAACGCACGGCAACATGCTCGAAGCAGAAATCCACTGACGTCGCTGATCGTCGAGTATGGGAGCCGATTATCTCTCGTTGCCCGAGGGGGAGTCCAACATGCAGCTCCTTGAAAATCGAGTTTTCCTCGACGCAAATTACAAGACCGAGAGAGCTGCACGAGAGCAGATTGCCTCGTCCCTGTACAAGCTACTCCCGCGTGCGAGCCTTTTTCTTGATAGTTCTTTTCGCGATATGCGCCACCACTGCTGCTCTCTTCAGGGTGCTTTCAGTATGCCGGATTAATCCTCGTCGGAGAACGAGATTTTTTTTTCCGTTCGTCCCTTGCTCGGGGAAAATCCGCGTAATTAAAAGCGGCTCGGCGACTTTTCTCTCTCTTTCTCTCGCTCCGTTTTCCCTGCGCGCGCGGCCGCGCGCAAAACGCCACGCGCGCGCACTCTTTGTGCGCCTGCCGCTCACAATCGAGCCTTCCTTCCCTTCGTCCGCGTCTTTCGGTTGTGTATTCTCATCTCGCGCGTGTCCCAGTCTGTCCATTCGCCTCCGCTTCTCGGTGGTGCAGCAGCGTCCAACGTTCCATTTTCCGGCAGCCTCACTTCCATTTCGCGCTTCACGAGCCCGTAGCGCGCGAGCTCGCGCCAGCGGATTACGCGAGCACAAGTAGATGCACTAGGGATTGTCCGACACGCTTGCGCCGCGATCCGACGCTTCGAGTTTTCATTCATATCTCTCGTTGCGAAGTCGTACGACCGAGCGCACTCAGGCCCAGAGTTTGCGAGTTTCTTCTGCGCAAACTCTTCTTGCGAGGTTCACCTCGAGGTAATGACTATTTATTTGGGGGCGCAGCAAAGTCCAGCGGTCGAGTTGTAAAATCAGGCCAATGTCACTTCGTTGCGGATCAATGAGGTTTGACGAGGTAGAAAAAGCGAGACTGACATTGGCGAATTTGACGATAGAGAGGCTAAATGAAACTTGCAACGAGTTTTCAACGAAGCATAAGAACGCATGTACGTGGTTGTAACGATGTCAGTTGGAGGGGTCATGGAGAGGGGAGGATGGCTATAAGCTCAGAGTGCTGGCGACAAAGTTCGCCTTTCTGCCCTTCTCTTATACTTGGCTTTGGGTGTGTGCTGGTCTCCGTGAATGGCAGAAGTCTAATCCCGCTACTTACGCATTCGAATCCATCTCGTAGTCTTTGGCTTTGGCAGCGTGTTTCCTGCGGCAGCGGCAGAACAGAAGCAGCAGCGCAGCGAACAATAGGAACACGGCTCCGCTCACTACCAGAGCAATTAAAGTTGGAGTTGCCAGTGTACCGGCTCGTGCTATGTATGACGGCCCGACTGTAATATCAAGAACGGTTTTACACATTACTAGAGATATTTCACGCTCCATTGTCTCTGCGACAGCTCAAATTCTTGCGCACCGTAAAACTTTGTTCATTTGTTATTGCAAGAGTTAATGAAGTGCCGCTGTATATATTGATAATAAACGCGCCTGCTTGGGCCTCCTGTGCGCCCTTTCCATTGACATATTGCCACGCTAACATCGTGATTGTAAACTTTCTCGCACTGCTTGGCGAAATTATTTGTCGTGTCGTGTCGCGGCGCCTGCATTCTCCGCGGGATATTGCAAGTAGAATGCATCTGTTCTAGTATTCCGGCTCCAAATAAGGAATTTAATATTGGATTTTTACACGTTGCTGCGAGAGAGAGAGAGAGAGAGACAGAGAGAGAGAGAGAGAGAGCAAAATCTGCTCGACTCATAGAAATTTATTTATTCAGTATTTCGAAATCATGGAAAAGCGTAATACCACTTCATTAACTCTGCTATTTTAATTCGACAATTGCCGAGCTCTATTTTTACAAACTTTAACCAGAGAGCGATGCTTACTCTCAGCCTCGAGGTAATCTCCACACTTCTGGCGATCGGCTTTCAGGCACAACCTCACGCGAATTCTGGGCTCGGAACTGGACGCGGCAGAGTCTTGAAGAACGTCTTCCCTCTGCGTACTCGCGCCACCCAAAACTTCGAGTGGCCAGTCTTCAACGATGCGCCACGTATTGTCGGAGCCCGAGTCGGACTTCTCGATCGAGGCGACGAGCGCCAAACACGTTGGCCCAACATTAATGCCGAGAGTGCCGCCTTCGGGATCGTAACTCACCCGCAACGGAGATGGAATTTTGGCCACTGCTGTGGTCGACGTCACTTCGTCCGAGTAGTCCGAGTGATTGTTAGTATTGTACACTTTCACCTGTAAAGCATTCGACAAATTCATTGACAAGCCAAAAACAAAAACGCTTTTGCCCGTTATCGGCGAATCGTTTCGGCGAAAGGAACAAATTAAATAACTTGTTCACGTGAAAAAGAAGAAAAAAAAAGAACTCGTATAGCTCGTTCGAGCGCATGACGATCGAAATTGGCGATGTAACACGCGTAAACATTAGTTCAGTTTTCAGACGAACGGGCCAGTCTTTGGCAGCGTGAAACCAGCAGAACAGCGGAGGCGCGCCAGTACGAATTGTTCGATCAAACGAAAGTGATATGTGCGCACGGTCCGGTGTAGCGTGACCTACCTTGAAAATGTAAGTTTGGTGTTGCTCGAGATCAGAAACGTTGCAAGGATTTGATCTGCGGCAATCGACCTCCATCCACTGATTAGACGGCCCCCTAGGTGGCGCGCAATCGGCGGCAATGATCTCGTCGGCCGGGGCAACCCTCTTATACGACACGAAATATTTGGTGATGGGCAGTCCACCATCGAAACCGAGATCCCACATAAGGGCAACGTAGGTTGGTCCAACGTCCATGGCCCTCAGGTTAATAGGCCTCTCGGGCGCGCCCTTAGGTTGTAACTTGATCACCGAGGTGGTACTGCCCTGAGCATTTGCCGCCCTGCAGCTGTACTCTCCGTAGTCGGTGTCGCGGATATTAGTAATTTTCAAGACCGAAGTGTACACGTCGTAGTTGTCGCTCGCGGTGGATATCTCGTAGTGGCCATCGCTCGACGAGCCTTGCAGCGGAGCGGCATTGGTACCAAAGCTCCACTGGAACTCGGGCTTGGGCCACGCTTGCACCTTGCACGTGACGTTGGCGGTCTCGTGAAAGTTACTCGCCACTTTGTCATAGAGGTTCAGCTTGATCGGCGCATGCTCCACCTTGAGCATCATTTGCGACTCGACCTTCTTCACCTCGTTCTCGAACACGCAAGTGTACTTGCCACGGTCGTTGGCGATCATTCGATCGGTCTCCGGGCGCGCGTTACCCAGGAAACTGAGCGTCGAGTTTACCGTTATTACTCGGCCGTGACCCTCCGACAGCGTCGTAGAGACTTTGTAAAGGCTTTGGTCAGCGGTGAGCTCGTTGTCATCCTTCATCCAACGCACCGATGGTCGGGGTTTACCTTGCGCTACGCATGACACTTGGAAGGACGATTCGCCGACCCTAAAAGTCATTTAAAAGCACACACAAATTTAATTGACCAATTATACGTAACAGACTCTGGCGGCGCATAAAATTCGCTTCAACGGCGCTCGCAATCTCAAAGGGATTACTCTCGCTGAAATCGAGCAAATAACTTTAGTTGCCCTAACGAAAGTCATTAAAATCCAAACGCTCGGCAATGAAGCGGCGCGGGCGGCGTATGCAAAACGAGTCTGCTACAAGCGCGCGCACTTTAATTGTATGCGCATCGTTAAACGTGGTAGTGTCAGATGATTCGCACAACTGATGCTCTCTTGAGTCTTATCCGCGCAGAGGATTCGTCGTCGTCGTCGTCGTCGTCGTCGCGCGTGCTTTAATTGCTCGGGGCTTAATGGAGGCGAGCCGCAGCGCAGCGTCGCGCGACGAGAGAGAGAGTAGGTTTTATTTATAAATTTTGAAAAGGGTCGCGCGCGCGTGCGTACGTCGAGTGTAATCCCCCCGCGGGACCTTGAAAACAATCGCGCGCGCACGCGAGCCGAGGGCGCGCGCCGGGGAAATGCTCGTGCCTCGGCGTCGTCGACGGCTCATTAAAATGCATATTCCATATATTAGCCACGGCAATTAGCAAGAAGAAGCTACGCAAGTACTCCCTCGCCGGAAAGGCGCATGGACGTGCGCTTTTCTCACGGCTGCTGAATGTGTCTGTCTAATAAATAATTGCAACAATATTTGCTGGGCGTTCGCGTGACTGCGAGCGTTCAATACAAGAAGAAACTGTGATGGGGCCGGAGCTGCCGTTGGTTCGTGAAACCCAGCATGGTGCCAGCGATTACAAGGGTACAATTAATAATCGTAGATGGAAGCGGATCGATAAAGCATGTTTGATTGGATCAGTGTGACGCCACGCTAGACTCGACTATTATATGCCACTTTGGCGATGGCAGTTACCGATTTAGCGATGACCGATCAATTACGAAACAAACTGAAAGCGAGTACTTACTTCCGAGTGACGTGAGGTTGAAGCTTGGTGAGGATCTTGGGTGACTGGTGAACAGTAAGATTGACCGATGCGGACTCGCCGTTGCCGATCTCGTTGATAGCGTGACACCTGTAGATGCCTTCGCTACCCAGATGCACCGACTGGATTTCGTACTTCTGACCGATGTACTCGGTGGACGAGAGGCCTCCCTCGGTTTCACGGGTCCACTGGAACGTGGGCTCGGGGTAACCAGGTGGATTGGCCACGCAGTTCAGGATGACCTTGGTGTTCTCGACGGCGACCGGGGCGTTAGGTGTGATGCGAGCCGGACCCGGCTTGTGACGCACGCGGATCTCCACCTTCGAGGCGAACGAGTAGTTACGACGTTCACCTCCGGATGGATGAATGGAGTTGATTGCCCGACAGGTGTAATTGCCAGCTTGCTCGGCTGTGACGCGCGACAGGCGCAGAATCGAGCCCTCTATGCGGAAGTCCGGGCGACCTGTGGAACGAGTCGCGGTGGGTGAGGTTGGTGATCCGCTGTTGCGTGGGTGGGCGGCGATCGAATCGACGAGCCGCTTAGTTCTTTGACAGCGATTCGACGGTGTTTCGAGGGTGATCCTTTCGATCGTTTCAATGTAAAAGTGCTCGATTTGAGGAGCTCATTGTTGTGCGCCGGACGCGATTAGGCGTGCGATTCGAAACGAACATCGAAACTGTAGCGAGCTGCTATTCGGTAATCAGCAGACCGATGATATCGCGGTAAATGCGAACGGGTGGCCGGCTAAGACGGCGTCAATAAAAAAGTCGGCTTACCTTCGCGAAGCCACTCGATCTTAGTTGGCTCCGGATTAGACGAGACGTTGCAGTGTACGGTAACACTATCCTCGACTTCCACGGTCCTGATCTTATCGCCTTCGATGGACACGCTGGGTGGATAAAGCACGTCCAAGTGCAAGAAGCTTTCGCCCTTCTTCGACAGCCCATTGTCGGCCTGGCAAGTGTACTTGCCGGCGTCCTGAAGCGTCACCTTCGGAATGATATGGTTGAAGCTCATGGCGACGAAACTGTTGTCCTTCAACCACCTGACCGACGTGACAGCGGGCTTGGAATCGACCTTGCACTTGAGCGTGGCCATGTTGTTGACTTCGACTTTGAGTGGGTTCTCCGAGCCGAGCGACACTCGCGGAAAGTACTGCACGTTGAGCGTGATGCTGGCCGAGAGCGTGTAGCCGTCGTCCATCGCTCGGTTCCACACGGTGCAACGCAGCTTGGAGCCGTCGTCGTCTTTGCTCGGTATCAGCACGTAAGTGCGCCCGGTGTGCACCAGGCTATTCGAGTCGCCTCGGTACCACTTGACGTCGGGCTCGGGACTTCCGCCGTTGGTCCTGCAGTGGAGCTCGAGGCGCTCCTCTTCGCGCACGATCGGCGAGCCGAGCACGATGGTCGGCGCACTCGGGGCGCGCAGTACCGTCAGCGTGATGTTCTTGTGATAGAGATTCTCGCCGGTGCCGCTGACCTTCACCCTGCACTCGTACTTGCCGTTGTCGCGCGAGTACGACACGTTGCGGATCTGCAGGTTGTACTCTCCCCTATCGGGATGCATGTGCACGCGGTAGTGCGGCGCCAGGGCCGTCTGCTCGATGGCTGCGTTGTCGTGAGCGCCATTCGTGTGCGTCAGCCAGAAAAACGTGGCGTTCACCGTCGGTGGCGGGAATTTGCACGGCAGATTCACCGTTGCTCCTTCCTTCGTGTCTATCGATGTCTCTTCCACCCCGTAGGCCTGGATCGCTCCTGCAATCATCAACGAGAGAGCACGACACCTTAGTACCTCGCTTTTAGCTTGGCGTTTAGTGGATTCGGCGGAACGCGCGGCGAGTATAATCATGGGGAGTACCACTCGACTTGCGATTAATTAGTTGCGGCGCGTACCAAGGCGAGCTCGAGTTTCCGTTTGAGTTTTATTTGGTCTTTATTACGCGGGCGCTGCAGATTTTTTTTTTTTTCTGCAACGGGCTTTGGTAAACAGGCGCTAACTTTTTTAATCAAGCTCTCTTCCCGGCGCGTCAGTCGATTCTTTAAATAATTACACGGCAATTTATGCACAAAGCTAGAGAGCCGAAAGCCAGCGAGTAAATTGTTTTTAATGAGCTTCGCTAACTTATCTGACCAGAGCGCCTAATAAAGTATAAATCAATTTTCAACGGGGAAAAATTTCTTCCGAGCTATGGCAACAACAAACTTTAATGAGTTCTTATCCTTCCTTATTTTGCGCTGTTTATTTGCTAAGCCCAACAATTGGATTTATAAGTTTCAATGCAGCTTTAGCCATCCAACTTCTGCGCACACACTGTACATGGCTAATCAAGTAACTTTTTTCCCGGGCCTTTCCCCGCTCAGACTTTGCGCTCAAACAAACTGACGGCAAAGTTTTTGCCAGTATGTTGGAGCTTATTTATTCATTGATCGGCGTGCAAGCAGTTTCATTCTATATACGGCGGCCAGGCGGACGGGAAGGCAGAAAGGGAGAAAAATCGCCCGCGTAAAAATCAGGCTGATTGAGAGAAACGAGCGCTCGAGAGTTGTACGTGTGCCTCTGTCTGTCTGGCTTTACATGCCTCACGGCCTGGCAGAGGCCAGAGGCTCGCGTGCTCGCTCCACCCTTTGGCGGATTCTTCTTTGCGCGACACTTGGCCCCGAAGTATCGGGTTGCCCGTCAAAGGCGGAAGTCGACGGGCAAAAATTCGCCAGAAACACGAAACAGGCGGAGAGATAGAAAGAGCCGAGTGGCTGCTGCGCTGCCTTTTCTTTCTCGACCCTCTCCCTCCTCGAGGGGAAAGAAACTAATCGGCGGCAAGCCGATTGGCGACGCACGCGCCGACGAGGGAGAGAGAGAGAAAAAGCTGGATCCGCCATTCGTTTGACTACATCGCGTTCCTGCGCGCGCCGCACGGGCATGTTTGCCTTGCGGGTGCTTCATCATTGTGTTTTGAGGAGGATCAACTGGAAGCACGCCAATGCGCCACGGGTATGAGCGTAGATCTTCGCTGAGGCTACGTGGGCTAAGTAGGAATGGTTATCGCGCGATTTACGGATGGTCCCAAGTGAAATATCGCGCAGGCAAGGTAAAATTTTTCGGTGTATGTACTCTCTACTTCCCCGTGGGGAATTTGTCGCTGCGTCTCTTTTCGAGAAGGCCTTATGTTGGCCCAATGAAATTGCAATCGACTCGCTTGACTTTAGCTGTATAGCTGAACTGCTAGCTGCAGCAATGACGTTATATGCCGAGTAATTGCTCGCATTAAACAGAGCTTTAATGAGCCCTTCAAGCTTACATCTTGATAGGCTTTTTCATTCGCTAGCTGTAATGTCATTTTCGCTAGCAATTCGAGAAAGCTCGTTTTACGGATTCCTTTTTCTTAATAACGTCAAATTCAGCCAGTCTTTTCTGACGATAAAAAAAAAAACTTGAGAGTGGAAAAAAGAGGTTTTCATTTAATTCCCATTATGCGCGCTGAGTACGATCAGTAGATTTTTCATTAAAAAATCAAAAACGATAAAGTGTGGATAAAAAAAAGCATCTAATTGTACGTAACTTGCCAAACCAACGTTCACAGGCGTCAGCTCTTACATAAAAACAAATATACGAGGACCGTGTGAATCGCAGAAGCTATCCGTACATACAACTCTCCCGTCCGCTAAGGATAACTGTAAAATAAGCCTGAACTCTTGAACCTACGCGACACGGTGCATCGTGGAAGAAAAAAAAAACGACGTAGAGAGAAGTAGTCGCACGATGTCGAGGCATCTTCTTGTATCGGCAAGAGCGGTTTTTCCCGCGGGTGGCTTTTTCTGGAACAACGTACTGTTATACGTATATACCTATACTCGCGGCTGCTGCTGCTGCAACGGGACGTGCGAACCAAGTCGTATTAAAACTGCACACGCTTGTAGCCTTTTGCACACGCTCGACGAGGGGGGAGGGGGGGGGGGCAGTACGAGTACCGTTCCTTTACTCCGCACACGATCGTCGTCTCACGCACTTACTGCCAAATTGCTCGCTGTCTTTCGCGCGTTTTTGGAAGCGTAGGTCGCTAGACTACAGTTGCAATTGCTAAAAAAAAATCCTACCTATTGTGTCGGCAAAGGCAGTTACTGCCGAATGTCGACACCTGCCTATAATTGTATATCCGCTCGGTAAGCATTTCGTCAAGCGTCAGCAAATTAGCCAATGCAACGCACTCGCGTACATTTTAATAAATCGCGGAGAAGCAAAAAGCCAGCGCCAGTCGAGGGACAATAAGTCAGCGTCGCTCTATATACGCATACCAGCCTTGATTACGAAAAAAAAGAGAAAGAAGGCGTCGACGAGAAGCGGGGCAGCGGGGTTGATATAGTTTTCTCCGTTGCGCGGCTGCACGAGGCGACTGTAGTCGAAAAATAATCAATGACGGCTAAGGAGCGCAAACAGTACAGTATATATACACGCTCATTCACCTATGCATGCACACGTACAGGCCAGGGCGAGTGGTGTCGTATGTGGGTCGAGCGATGGGTCGCTTAACGGTATAACGCGCCGCGACTGCCTTTCTCTTTTTCCGTCATATAGTTACAGCTGCCGTTGCGTATACTATACGTACGGCGGGAGCCGATCGGTATGCGCTTGTCTCACGCGTCAATGGCCGGATTTGATGTTCTTCTCGTCGGCGAAAAGACGTGCGCGCGCGCGCGCGCGCGCAGCCTGCGGCGGGGAAAAATTTCCTTTTTATATCGAGTCGATCGGCCGGAAGGAAAGTAGCTTTCTTTGTGCTTCGACTCAAATTAACCTGCACGCCGCGAGCGCGCTCGCGCAATACACTAACGAGCCTTTCACTTGCAGCGGCGCGCTTTTATATTCCCGCAAAATTGCTTGCGTTTTGCGAGAAATCACGATAAGCGCGTTTGCTCGCGACGTGCACATTTGAAAAGTAGCACTACTCTGCCGTGTGACACAGTTGCGATTTGCGTATGCGCGCGCGCGTGTTTGTTTTTTTTTTCTGCGATACGCGCGCGGGTTCGAGCAAGCGAATAATGCGATTTCCTCCGCGAAATGCGGGCCAATTTCGTTTGTCATTCACGCGCCCGCTCTCTTTACTAATCGCTGATGTGTGCGCGATTCGCTTTCGCAGTGGCCATTGAATGCCGAGCAATACATAGAGAGAGAGAGAGAGAGAGAGAGAGAGAGAGAGAGAGAGAGAGAGAGAGAGAGAGAGAATCTTTGATGAGCCGTAAGTGTGAATGTGTGTCCTCTGCATACACGTAGTGTCCAAGCGCACAAAAGCATCGTTTTCACGATGGTGTCAAAATGCCGGCGATTTCTAAAATATTAAAAGAAAATAGTGAAACCGAAGCTCGGCAGTTATCAACGCTAGCACAGCTTGTAATTTCTTGGAAGGGAAATCAACTGGTTTATCGCCACTCAAGCAACAGTGGACCGTCGCAATAAGATGCCGAGTCGACGAATAATGGCGCGACTGGCCGGTGTAGAACTCCGCAGCTCACTGTTACAATGCGGCGTGCCCAAATAGTAACTGAATCGACAAACAACGGAGCGAGCAGTGGAGAGTGCAAGCCCAAAGACCTATTGCGTCGACGACGATCAACGAGTTTCACTTTCCATCGGATGTGTTTTCCCGTGAGAGAGAGAGAGGGCAAGAATACAGATCGACCGTAGCTGGATGCGTATGTCGATGTGTCTGTAGTACACGACAATCATGGAGTGGTTTGTTTGTCCCGACGGTACGCGAGCACGAAAAAGAACAAGAGCCAGAATCGATGAAACGTAAAAACTTTAAATAATTGGAAGTGCGAGGAGGGCGATGAAAAGTCTCTTTCTTTTATGTATACATATATAAACGCATTCGGAGTGCCTAAGCAGACAATGTGCAATGAGCTCGACGTACAGCGCTGCACGCGCGCGTATGTACGTACCGGTGCAGAGGTCAAATATCCGCGAGCTCTGCCATGAATTTTCATATAGAGCCGGCGCCGAAAAATGCTGCTTTACGATTGTCTGCGCAGTCTGAAAAGTTGATGCGCGCGAGCTCGAATGGTGAATTATTGGCCGAGTCAGCAGCTACGGAGCGACGCGCGCGTATCTGTTCAGGGAAATGGGACTTTGCTCTCTACTCTCTGGCTGGCGCGCGCGGAACTTTGAAAAGGCACTCGATTAACGTTTTATTTATGAAAAGTGAGCGTGCTCGGGGAGACGCAGAACGAGTTTAAAGAGTAATGCTGTTAACCCCCGCTAGCTCGTACTCGCGAGCGTTTGCATACATAAAGCGGCCTGCTCACGTGCGTTTTTATTGAATGTGTGTGCGCGCTCTTTTTTTTCACGCGCGCCTGGCAATTTTTGCAAATCCAATAGAGGAAGAGAGAGAGAGAGGACGGAGGGAACGAGCAGATAGGTAAGAGTGTACCAAATGCGGACTTTTTTTAATTTACTTAACGCGTCCGCGCTCCCGCTTCGACTCCACTGTCACTTGGCGTACGCGATGTCCATGTACGCATGGAAAGTTCAACGTGTGAAAGAATAGCGTGTAATGTAATCCTTTGAATTGAACTTTCACTTGAAGCGCGCTCGCGAGCGTGCAGCGCATCGATTTTCTTCTTATTTTTTTTTTCTTTTTTCTCACGGGACATATTTCTGTTCGGCGAGAAAATCACACGCTAAATTGAATGCGAAGGTTTTATGGGAAAGCGTGTGGCTGGCACGAGATCCGCCGTCGCGGATCACTTTGAGCACAATCGACCGT